CAGTCTCGTTTAAAGTTATCATTTCGTAAGTTCTATGGTCGATACAATGACCTTGTCAGCAAATTCAATTTATCATTGAGTCAAATGCTGACTGACGTTTTACATACTAATTGTTAGTCCATTATTTATACACTGAATTGACAACGGATTTTCTGTTATTTTCTGATAATGACAAGGAGCACACGGCAGGTGTGACCGGTCAGCAGTCAGCAGGGGATGCTCACTCTTCCATGGCACCTAATCCCACCTCTGATGTTTCGGAGGTCCGTGTTTGCTGTGCTCCTATTTTGTATTGTTTTATGGACTTTGATATTGAATACTGTTCGTTATCTTCATATCCATCTTCAGAAGCTTTACAAAATAGTTGTTTATTTTATAAAGCTCTGAAGATAGAATGAAAGGCCTAAACCTTTACTGAAGTTTTTCGTGTTTTTCTTCTGTATTTTAAGTACATATATGTAACTATATATGTTAAAATATGAAATGATTATCAAACCAAACCAGAAGTTATTCATAAAGGGCAAACTTGGGATAAAAATCTAGAAGGTCAGAATTTGGAAAATAACAATATTCCCAAGTATGAAGAGCAGGTTATATACTGTACATCTTTTTAGGCATTCATACAATAAATTTTGTGGTATCGGAAATTCTATTTCTATTTTCAATGTATAAGGACATATTTAAATCAATTGTAAATAAGAGGACGGTTTTTAATGAACAACTTACGTTGAAAAGATAAGCAAAAATTCTTCTTCCATTTGTTAGATATAGTTAACTTTTGGCAGTTGCAGTATATGTACTTATTTCATATATGAAAATAATAAATCAAGCTCAAATGTCTATTGCAATAACAGGAACAAAGTAAACACAACCCTCTTAAATCATCGAAGGAGCGATCGAGTGTAGTGGAGAAGAAAATACGTTTTTGTTTTTTTTTAAATTGTAGACAATTCACTTCGATTAACGTCAGTGTATTTGCTGACAGGGTGAAACGACCATGAAATTCGCGGTATGTTGGCTTTGAAAGTCTTTTTTTTTCCAAATATGAAGCAGATAAGTTAACCTCTGTAATGCCTTTAAACAAATCAAAGTAGAACTGAAAATTTTATATTTGTTTCAATATTAGCGGTTGGCACACGCTTACCTACAGACAGGATCAAGAGTAAATTTGAACAGATTTAAAGATTCGACAATTTCCTCTTCTCATTATTTCTACATATCAACTTAAATTCCTACATTTGTTAAGTACAACCTTCGATTCTTTTTTAAATCATCCTGACGTTCCTGTCGCTACGAATAATATCTTACATTATTTTGATTTCAAAGAAGTCAATAAAATCAAAAAATCAATTATGGTCTATATGAAAATATTATTGCACATACTTTGCAGTATGGGATGATGAAGGACGAATGTCGTGTGTTCATCAATATGTAATAAAGAAATCAAAATCCATTTTTTTAAATTTGTAATAAAACTACTTTAATTCTTACACGTTTCGTTAATATGTGTTCTCCTTATTATATTTATCAGAACTTTGGTATATAAACAATTCGCATTCTTTACACTTCATCGCCTTAATCTGGTTGCTGCTACATGTACATGAATATCTCAGGTTGTCTTTTTCACGTTTATCTTATTTAATGTGCATTTGTGTTTTCACTTTGAAAGCGCGGATCTAGACATATTATATCGAAAATCTTTTATAACGTTTTTTTCTCTAGGGTAGAAGCATGCAGAAGTAAAGTTTGTCGCTTCAAAGTACATATATATAACCGTAAATGAGACATGTACTCAGGTAGAAACTGGAAAGTAAAATACATCGAACTGTAAATAGAGCTGAGGCTTTTATTAAGAATCTAGCTGGATAATCTTGAGAGGACTTATGCGGCGCACATGATATTTCTCTTCGAATCGTGTTTAGCTTTGACGTCTGACTGGGCCGTACTGCACCTGATCCCACCTCTTATGTTTTGGAGGTCCATGAAACATCATGAAACAAAGATGTTTAAAGTCAACATGTTGCAAGTTCTACTCTCGATACATTACATTGTCACCAAATAAAATAATTCAAATCATTTATCGAATGCTGACTGACCATTTGTAAAATAATTCCAAGGCCATTATGTATACACAGAATTGTCTACCGAGTTTCCAGTTTGGTCAATCAGGAAACATATGGTGGTTGTAAAGAGTTTGCTTACTTCTCCATGGCAACTGATCCCACTTCTGATGTTTATCGACATTTACATTTGCTCTGCTCTTGATTGGTTCCGTTTTAATGAATATATGAGCTTGTATTGTTGTACGTTATTTCCATATTTCATATTAAATGAATCTGATAGTGGAAATTCAGCTTATATTCAAAGTCCTTTTAAATCATTTTTAAAAATGATTTGTCAGGCTTAAATATTTTCAATATCCCAAATAACTGCAATGATTTCTAAAACATAATTTAAGCTGTATTCAAAAACTCCACAACAATTCTTACACGCAGAGATACATAGCTATATCTTTTGAGTGCTTTTCCGAGTGTCTTTCTTCCCGAAAAATTTATAAATTATAAATAATTGTAGAGAAAATATTGCTGTTCATGAAACAACAAAATCGATAAGGCCAACATTTTTTAATAAAATGGTTTACGGGAGCGCCGACTGCAATTTTACCTAAAACCAAATAAAAATAAAAGTCCCTGTTGTTGATTTTATTTTTAAATTTCCCGCCGATCGTCAATGCAAGTGCACCAAAAAAATAAAATTATGTGCAAATAAGTCGGCAATTCTGATTGGCTGTTTTATTGTAATCCTTTCTTATCATCCAATCAATTTACGTTTCTTATAAACTTTTTCGGAAGTGCATAAAACGTGCCAACATGGACGCAGAAATGTCAAATTTTACAGAAGTTGAGAATACATCGTCCTTATACATGATAGTTCACGATCGTTTTTGCAAGTCAACCATACTAAGCGAACAGGAAAATCAATAAGAGTACATCCAATGACGAAGTTAAGTTAGAGTTATAACGAAATTAAAGAAATGACTAGAGGATATGTTGACATGGGTGTCACCTTCGATGTGGGGTACCGTATACAGTACGGTAGTTCTCTTTTACAATTTTGATACCTTTGATGAACGTGATACGTGAATGGAAATTGAAAATAGACGTTCGAATTTTGTGAAGAACAAAATGTGACGTATCTGCATATATATCAATGAAACGTTTTCAAACGTGTGTAACATTTTTAAATAAAGATCATACATGTGTATACAGACTGGAAATTCGTATTAAGTATTTTGGTGTGTGTTAAAACAGTTATAGAATAGATATATAAACACTGCAAATGATACAGTTTTCAAATTTGTCTATACTTTCAACTTTATCAAGCTTTCAAAATATTAATTGCATAAAACATATATGCTGTAGTGTAAAATACAGATTAAAATTATGATGCTGGGTTTTATTCAGATTCTCTTTATAACAATATTTTTCCCATTTTTCATTTGTTGGTTAATTTGAACATAGTGAAGTTCTCATTTTATGCAAACTTTTTTCTTTTGTCATCTTGTTGTCATAATGAGTATTTTTATAAGGAAATCCTTAGATTCCCCCATTTCTCTCAAGGGTTTAGTAGTATACTTTAATATTTGTGTTGTTATCATATTTCAAGCTCCACACCATATATATGGCAATTTTTATCGAATTATTGAAAATAAAAAAATCACACACTTTTTCTAATTTTATTTTTATTTTTATTTATCCCCCCCCGACCCAATTTTTTCAAAAAAATTCCCGTAAACCATTTAATAAAAAAATGTTGGCCTAAACTTGTGATGTCGAACAAAAAATGGATACTTAAAGTTCTATTTAAATCCTTATCCCCCCCCCCCCCAATTTTTTCTAAAATGCTTCCAACCAATAGCGTCCAAATATGGTTTTTTCAACATTTAATTTAAATTTTCTTCACAATGAATTAAATGACTTGTATGCAACTGATCTTAAAGGTGCATGGACACAGATTTGAAGTTAATATTTTCTGTATATTATTACGACTTATATATTTTAACAGCATTTCACACAAAAATATATTAAAAATCTTATTTCATCTAAAAGTTATTAAAACTTCAGTTTTTTAGACTGGTTAGATTGACACATCCTTGCACTTTCACAAATTTAATTCTATTCTTAATACTTAGGAAAAGAGGCAATCTTGTGTATAAATGAAAAATATTAAAACTATAATCCAGAAAATTCAGAGTAGAAATGTTCGAAAGCAAAACATACACACAGTATATTGTCAGTCCGTGCAGTTGTGGTGAGCAGATTTTAACTATTGAACGCTCCCGGGGAATCGTAAACATCAACAATAATAGAGCTCGTGCCCTGTTTACAAAAACTGTGTACATTAGCGCGGGTGTGAACAATTTGCTTAACTCTGTACACAACGCTTAGCGCGGAAGGGCGATACTTGTAAAAGGGTTTTGCTTTATAACAATTCTACTCTGAGTATAATTATTTTTACTGGATTAAAGTTTTCATATTTTTCATTAATACACAACAAGATTGCCACTTTTCCTAAGTATTAAGAATAAAAGTAAAATTTGTGAGAGTGCAAGGATGTGAGAATCAAACCCATCCGAATATTTGAAGTTTCAATAACTTTAAAATGAAATATTTTTTTAAATATATTTTTGTGTGAAATGCTATTAAAATACATAAGTCGCGATGTTATACAGAAAATATTAACTTCAATTCTGTCCTTGCACCTTTAATGCCTCAATTTGAATTTCCCTTCAAGAAAGTGCTGCAATCTAACTTAGTGCATTGTAGTTTGTGGATGGTTTGATTAACCAAGACATTAAAAATAAATGTTTTAGTGTTCCCATTTGTCAGGTAAAAAAAAAAAGACCAAAGTAGTTGTCAAACGCTAAAAACTGATTTAAGTTCCTGTAAAGTGTGGGTTTAATATATAAGTTGTCATCTCTTTTCTTTTTTTCTTCTTAGAACATTGAAAACGACGAAGATTTATGGTTACCACTAGAAGAAATTCAAAACCAGGTTCCATCCAGTCAATTCCAGAGCAGACATCGAAGGATATCATTACCGAACATACCGAGAGTGGACGGATTATCTGCTCCCGTCTCCAAACGAAAAGCCTTACCCTGTTTCTTCAGCATTGTTGCTTGTTATGGATAACGACCGCATCCATGTCTTCTTGTATGAACACTGCCATTTTATTCATAGACAACATAACTGTTTCTGTGAAATAAGAATACCTGATCATTTTACGACATTATATTTTGACATGAACATTGATACATAGAGACACTATTTGTTCATTCTATATTCAACTCTGTTCAAGATCTCTTTCTTAAGAATGCCTTATACTTTCATAAATTATCAAAATACAACAATTTAAAGAAGAACCTGTTGACAGTAGGGTCATCTTAAATGCTAGTCCAGCATCGACTGACAATAAGCATTTCATGAACTAAAACTTGAGAGAAATCAGATTTTAGTTTAGCTTGTCTGCATATAATTTTGTTTTTTTAAAACTGTGTTATGCTAGGCGATAGTTAAGAACAAAAGTTTATACATTCATTGCAAAGATGCAAAGGATTGTGCGTTCTTTTTTTTTATTCATGGCAGATACCGTCTATAACATATCTACTTTTCTAATAAATCAATGCAATACTCATCAATATCATTTCATTTGATTTTCTCACCATCTACACATTCAGCATCATTTAGAAATAAATAAAATTACATAAGATACAATACATGTACACTGTTCATTCAAATTACCTACACTTTTGTTATTTTGTTTGTTTTATATACAAATACAATTGATTTATTTTGTACAAATGAAATACAATGGATTCTTTACAACTGACCGACTTGCTTATACATTTCTTATATTTTCTTCGTTGTTTAATTTCGTCTTGTCTTTCGTAAAAAAGGCGTCAGTAATTTTTCCCTTTTCCATATATTCTGTGCTTGCGACAGTTGAAGAGATACTAGGTATGTTTTTCGTTCCTAACGCCTCCTCCATCTGAGTATACCAAGGCAGTTCATCGCTGCTACCAAAGAGACCGTAGATAATACCCCCAAAACAGTATACACAGGCCAGAGACAAAAACACATTCCTCCAGCTTTCATCAGAATCCTTAAAATCAGACATAAAATAATGCAAGTTTTAAAATCTCATAAAATGTACTGAAAAATAATCCATTTATTCATAATTTATTTCAGTTTAGAACTATAAGACTATGGGAAGAACTTTTCCCTACTAAACATTATCTGCTTTGATTTATAATTAATTAAGATATTTATGCTTACTTCTTTTATCAAGAGAGATGTTATCATGGGCGCGGTGATCTGTCCCAAAGCATTAATAGTAAAGGCCAGTCCAGAAAGCGATGAGGCAAATCTGGTGAAGGAAAAATAGGATAATTAAATCATTATGATAACATTTACTAAAAACAAAATCTCTCTTTGTTCCTAAATATTCCATTAGGAAACTTTATCTCTGTAGACCAACATTCTCTTCAAAAGTGATAAAGTATGAAATGTAATTAATTATTAAAGTTATCATTTAAATGCTAACGCAGTTGTATTAGAAGAGGAAAACAGCAAGGATAAAGGACTGAAATATTGCATCCATATTAGTACAATTATAACGATGTACATCTGTTCAAATCAAACTGTTATCTGGACATTTTTTCTTCGTTTTATAGGATAAGATGAATTCATAAGTCTGTAACTGAGACCAATATCGGATTGGGATCTGTTCATATAACACACAGCTGGTCACCGAATACAAAGTATATCAGATAAGTGTCAGTTTAATGTATGACGTCATTAACTCCTCCCAATTGCTGATAATACCTGAACAGTAGGTTTAGCGCTTTTCAAGAACGGAATTAAGTCTTAATTTACAAAAATTCCTTTGTCAATATTATTTTAAAAGAACGTCGCTGAACACATCGGTTGATTTACGAAGAATATTGTTTCTGCATGACAAAAAGAGACAACACTGAAATGACATCATTGTAAAATAAATTTTAATTTAGTTTGATTTAAAGGAAACATGATTTTCCCACAAAGTTTTAAATCTTAAATCGCTTTATATGCTTAAATTGCCAAACAACAATGTCTGTTGTTTGAATTTTAAGGCGTTTTTGATAAAAAAAAAAAAAAATTGAGATTTTTATGTCGATGTTTTCTCAATGCCGTACTTTTGCATACGTTTCTCAAGTCTTATATTGACAAAATAATTGAAATTACAATGCTTTCACTAAATCTTTGATAGATAAATGCTAAATTTAAAAAAAAAACGTGAAAAGTCCAATAATATATCTGCAAGTATAATTTTCATGATTTAGCTATGATTGAGCAAATTCTAGTTAAAAATGCAATTTAAAAAGAAGATTGTACCAGCTTTTTTTTACCTGGGTGCTAACTCTAGAGCGTTTGTATAGGAACCAGACATGGTGCCGCCAAGAGCCATAGTAGATATGGTCAACAGAAGAATGGCCATATCGCCTTGATTTACGTACTTAATGGAGAGGATGAATATTGCGCCTGTGAAGGATGCTGTATAGAGGAATAAAAATAAAATCTTAAATACGAAGCAACATTCGTCTTAAGATTCCATCAAAACTAGGAGATATTTTCTCAATCAGAAATACCTACAAAGACATTGAATGACCTTCCGCAAATTGGTCACTGACATTCGATTCCATTGTAGTATTTTATCAGCTATGAGTCCAATGGAAATAATGGATATGCTTCGTCCAAGAAAAGGAAGGGCTGACATCTTACCGTTCTGTTCAATAAAACAAGCGATTAACATTATACATTATATAATAAATATCTATCCTTATGTGGATATATCGGTATTTTACTTGAAAAAGACATTAATGGTAATTTAACAACCAAGCATAATAATGATAATCGTGATGACTTTAACTTTCATTTGTCAACTTCCCTTACTTTTATACTTCAATATGCCTTCATCACCTGCATACAGGAATTATATTTCTCCGTTGATTCGATACGCAAGAGGATGCTCTACGTATGGATAATTTCTCAAACGAGGTAACACTCAAGTTTATGAAACAAGAATATCAGCTGTTTCGTTTAAAGTTATCATTTCCTAAGTTCTATGGTCGATAAAATGACCTAGTCAGCAAATACAATATACATGTATCTTGAGTCAAATGCCGATAGATGTTTTTCATATTAATTGTTAGGCCTTTATTTCCACACCGAATTGTTGACGGATTTTCCTGTTATTTCCTTATCATGACAAGGAACACATGGCGGGTGTGACCGTTCGGGAGGGGATGCTCACTCCATGGCACCTGATCCCATCTTTGATGATTTGGAGGACCATGTTTGCTCTGCTCTAATTTTGTGTTGATTCATGGATTTTTGAGCTTGAATACTGTTTGTTATTGTCATTTATTTCTTTTCACTATATGATATTGTTATTACATTGACCCTGCACTATGGATTTCAATACCAATTGCTCAGAGTTTATTATATTAATGCCAACATTTTGTTTGAGGCTCAGAAGAATGTTGTTGCCGACAATGAATGTTCTGGGTGCCATTTTAATTGCCAATGGTAGGTAGAGATCACAAAGTTTACAGATTTCTCTTCCTTTATAGTGAGACATATGGAGATAACGAACAGGCTTCAAGATAGGAGCAGAGCAAACACGGACCTCCAAACATCAGAGGTGGAATCAGGTGCCATGGAGGAGTGAGCATCCTCTGCCGACGGTCACGCCCGCCGTATACTCCTTGTCATGACCGGGATAAAACGGAAAAATCCGTCGTCAATTCAGTGTATAAATAACGGACTAACAATTAGTATGAAAAACGTCAGTCAGAATATGAACTCAATGATAAATTGTATTTGCTGACAAGGTCATTGTGTCGACCAAAGAAATTACGAAATTATGACGACTTTAAACGAGACTGCTGAAATTTTTGCTTCATCAACTTGTTTGTTAATAATTTACCTCGTTTTAGAAATTGTTCACACGTAGAGCATGCTCTTGCGTATCGAATCAAATGAGATATATAAACTCCGTATGCAGGTGATGAAGATACATGTATATTGCTGCATAAGTAAGGGTATTTGTCGATAGAAAAGTTAAAGTCATCCAATTTATCATAGAGCTTGGTTGTTAGATTACCATTAACGTCTTTTTCAAGTAAAATATCCAAACATGAACAGATGAGTCAGACTCTGTTGCATCTATAATCTCAAACCCACCAGGATATATCGTATCGATATAAGAATGGAAATTACCATTGTTTATTGAAAATACGTCGTCGATATATTTAAATGTCGAGTTGAAGGCCACAGCAAGTATTTTCTTCTTTTCATAGATAAATGCTAAATTTACAATATAGACATAAGTTGGGTGAAATGCGTCAATCAGTTGCCGAAAAGAAGCAGTAAATGTTCCAAGGTATACGACAAACGAAAACAGATATATCTAAATGTCGAGTTGAAGGCCACAGCAAGTGTTTTCTTCTTTTCATAGAAAAATGCTAAATTTACAATATCGACATAAATTGGATGAAATGCGTCAATCAGTTGCCGAAAAGAAGCAGTAATGTTCCAAGGTATACGACAAACGAAAACAGATGATGATAAGTTACCCAGGTGAACACATAGACTACATCTAAGGAAATAAAGTTGTTCAAATAACATACATCACTAGTGTTTAACTTGTAGACATCATTCATATATTTTGGAAGGTATGAAAATACAGCTGTCATCCCATAGGCAACCGTAAGCATTGCAGTAATCATTGCCCAAACAGGCCCCGACTTCAGGATAAGTAGCCAAGGGGCTTTTATTTTGGTGTGCTCGCATCTACACTGGAAAACGTAAATTTACTATAGAAATTTGAAATCAGGATTAAAATCAAAGAATCCAAATAGATTATTTGCAAAAAGGGTTTTCTGTTCCTGTTATTTAGTACGGTTGTAATTGATACCTTTTCTTTAAAATTATCGTGTCTGTCCCCCACTATGTACGTTGTTTCCTGGACACTGATCCAGCGGTGAGAGGTCGGGGAGTCCGTCACAAATATAAGCCATACAATTAACCATAAAACAGTCACACCCCCTGCAGGAATCATGCAGAGAAATCAACATTAGCAGAGTTATTTTTCATTATAATCACTTTTATTTTTTTCCTCTAGAAATGATTTGTTTCTTGTTAGAATAAAATCAGTATTTCATAGTGATTGATAATTGATGTTTCTGAATAATTCTCATATAAGAAATTTACAGAAGAATTGGCCTACTCACCATAGGTGTAGAAAATAAATGGCCATCCACCATCTATAGGAATGGTGCAAAGGTACCCCGAACTCGCAAATGCAATAACCACTCCAAGATCCAATCCTGAAAAGTTCTCAGTGCAAATAATAAAATATCTTATAAAATCTGAATTCCTGAATATTTCTAGGTCTTGTGTTTTTTCTATTGATTTAGCATATGAGAAGTAATGAAGTACATTACATTTTCAAAAATGATGTGGTTGATAGATTGATTTTATGTTGTTTATCATCCTACTCGAGAAAATTTCACTCATGTATAGAGAAGTCACTATATGTCAGTAAAGAGCTTCAAATTTTGATCTTGAGACCATTAAATTGAGCAGTGAGGGGTCTTTATCGTGCCAACGTCTACCGTGACACGGGCCCTCGGTTTCTAAAGGTCTCATCGGAGGGACTTGCAACGTTTACTTCAAGGTGTTGAACAACTGGCAAAACAACAGTTGCTACCTATTTTTTATCGACTAAGGTCAGTCGAGGCCGAGATTTGAACACACAACCTTCCGAACACGGACAAAAATGTGTACATGATGTAAAGAGTATATACTCTTAAAGTAAAATATGGAAAATAGTGAGCAAATTTTGATTTGATTTGATTTTGAACATATTTTATTATGTAAGAATTACATAAACGGAGCACTTTAAGTTTATCTATACATGTAGTCCAGAAATTAATACTTTTTCAAAGCTATTGTATATACTGTATGACTTTCACCCACAATTAGACAGTGTAACCTAGAGTGTTAACGTACTAAGTTCTAGGTATCATACAACTTTCGACATATCATGAATAGTACATTGATTGACTTGTAAATAAAGTAATTTTTTATCGGGAATGCAATGGGTTGAAATTAATCAATAATTTCTGACTACTGGAAACCATTTTAAGAGAAATTATTTTCACTAAATGCTGATGCATACAAGCATGGACAAACCTGAGAATGTAAAGGCTAGAAGCTCACTGCGCTCAGACTTTGGTGACCACTCATCCCACAGCTGAGAAAACATAGGCAGGCATCCAGACTACAAGATATTTACAAAATACATCAACTTATTGTAATAAATGCTCGAATATTGATGAATAATCTTTATCAATATAAAAGAAAATTAACAAAGATGTCTAAAATCTATTATACATTAAAAAATTTGTAAGGGAGATTTGATGTACACGCTTAAATAACTAGTACCTATTTCTTAAGTTTTTTCTGTATTATCTATTACCCAATTCAGCTCTAAATAGCCCATTGCATTACCGAAGAATAAAATCAATCTGTAAAACAATCATTTATTACAGGAGAATCAAAATGATATTGCAATTCCTACCCCTAGAAATCCTTGTATCGCTCGAATTGTTATGAGCAAATAGGAGCTTGTTCGAGCAACACTTGGTGTCAATACTAGGAGAATTGAAGATAGCAGCATGTATATTGCCATTGGCCATTTGATTCCGAACCGCAGTGACACATGACCGGAAATGAAAGGAGAAACAAGCTGTCCATAAAAATACGCCGACAGGATTAGACTTTGGGTTGTTCTGTCCCAAAGTATATCGTGTGGAATCTAAAATGCAAAGAAGATATTATATGGATACATTATGTACACGTATTTGTATGTGACATTTATGAAATCCTCTTTTTCTTCCCACTACTTTATAATTATAAAATAAACAAAGTGTGTTTGTGAAACACTGATGTCTTCGTTTGGTAGCTAGGGGTAAAGTTTCTCTAATGCAAGTTCTAAATTGTTGGTATCCACAGGAAGGTCTTGTGACAAGGAATATAAAAGCTTTAACGCTAACTGTTCAAAAGTAATGGTTACGGTAAAAGTTTTTTTTTTTTTTAAAAAGTGGATCAAACTCTGAGGTCAAAAGGTTAAACATATTTTTATACCTATTGAAAGGTCTTGCCACAGTGAAGAAAAAAGTGAAAGATGAAGGCACCACATGTTCAAAAGTTATGGCCTAGGCGAAAGTTTGGAAATTTTTTGTAATATTGGGTAAAACTTCATGTCAAATGGTCGAAATTTAATGTACCTGTAGAAAAGCAGGGTTGAATGTTTTTTTGACACAAACACAAAGACAGACGGATGGACAGGGCAAAACTATAATGTAATCCCAATTAGAGAGCATAATTATGCCCATTACTTTAGAACTTTAACTAATGCTTATCCTAGTTTGTATATGATAAAAGCAACCTATTTTCTCCTCATAAATTTTGACACTTCTATTTTAAGTGAACATCCTGTATTTAGTTCCTGTTAAGTCTACTTTCACTGGTGTCAGAATAAATGAGGTTTTTGTATTACATTAAGTAATTTCATTGGATTCTATATTTCTTCCAGTTAATCTTTCTATTTTTTTTTTTAAATAAACTGTTTCTTCTTGTTATAGTGTATTAATTTGTTGTATTCTATTTCTTTCTTCATCCAAAATCAAACATGTATATCTTTGTCTTTTGGTTTTAGTGGTCATTTTTCTGTCAGGGGCATTTTTTTTCTTTATCGAAAACGGCGATAATAATTTCATACTTTACTTACTCTTAAACAGGCTCTTGACGCCCACCCTTTTTCAAAGTATTTTCAGAAATATCACTTTGATGTATTTACATTAATTTAATAAATTTTCCCTATCTACATTCATTTGCTTATAATAAGCACATAAAAAATTGAAGATAGAAAGTTTGGCTGAGTTTAGCTATAAATTCAGATGTACCATGCCTTCCTTTTGCCCTCGTGATTGATAACAGTCAAACACTTCAAAGATCCTAATCAAAAAGGGTTTATTTTCGCCATTCAAAAAGAAAAACCGAGATTTTAATTGAATAACTTTTCAACTTTTATTATAAAAGATGATTAAATTTAAAAGTTTAAAACGCAGAACAGTAGAAACCATCAAAAACAAAATATGACGCCATAAAAATGTTTGAAACGTAGAATAGCTAGCGTACTAACGAGGTTACTTTTATTTCTTTAGCGTGGTCCCTAGAGGACCAAGTTAAATAGTTAGGATTTTTTTCCCGACATAAAAGACTTCTCATTCGAAAAGTTAAATCTTTGCATATCCTTGTTTTGTACGGAAGAGCATTAAGGACCATCAAATTTTTTTTTAATTCGAAATAACGAATTGTCGAATTTTTTTTTACTTCATCTTATTTGCAGTTTCGAAATATGTCAATCCCACCGGCGAATTTAATTTGTTCTAACAATTTCTTTTAGTACATTATATGGAATAAAATCTGTTGAAAACAAATTTGTTGAATTCGTTAATAACGAATTCAAAAATTTGTTACATGAATAACGAACAAAATTCGTTCAAACGAATTCTAAGATTTGTTAAAGCAAAGCATATTCGTTTAAACAATTTCTAAATTTAGTTATAAGGAATATATTAATCTTATGTAATCAAATTCAACAATCAGGGCCAGTAAAAAATATTTATATGAAATCGATATATTGATTAATCGAAATCGTTTTACCGAATTTAATTTGCTATAACAAATTTTAAAAAAAAAGTCCTTTTAACGAATAGGATTCCTTAAAGTAAGTTTAAAATTCGCTATAAGAATTTTTTAAATTCGAGACAACGTTTTCATTAAATTTGTTTTAACAGACTTAATTCAATATAATGAATCATAAAAATTGATATAACGAAGTTAATTCGCTAAACGAAGTTTACGAAGTAAATTCGTTATATCAAATTCGACAACTCGTTGTATAGAATTCAAAAATATTTTGATACAATGAAGCGCATAGAAGTGGTAAAATTTTTCGTTTGGTTGGAACGTTCTGAGTCATGATTTGAACGTCAATTACAACATAATGACACGCCCATGTAATGTTTTAGGACACCCCATTCTTTGCGACAAGCAATATGAGTTACACTGAAATATTTTGAAAGTAGAAGAGAGAGTCGCTCCACTTCTGTAAAACACAAATTGCAACGAATATGTACATATTTTTGAACTTATCATGTCTATTGAAGTTACCACAACACATGTTTCGGTCGAACATATATATTTAGACCGTCAATTTCATTGGCTCTCTCTCTCTCTCTCTCTTTCTAAAGAAATGGGCGTGGCATAAGATGACAATAAACGTTCTAAAGATAGTCTCAAAACGTTCCATTCGAACGGAAAATTTTACCACTTCAATGCTCTCTCTCTCTCTCTCTCTCTCTCTCTCTCTCTCTCTCTCTATTTTTTTTACTAAATCGTCATTATTTATATCGTACATTAACCTTCACGTCATGTTACACAAAGAATTTAATAAAAGTATGTGTGTAGGGCATATAAAAAACATTTTTTTTTTTGTAATAACATACATTTTCAATTCTTGTTCTAATCAATTACATCCATTGCATTAATAATAACATTTAAATCATTTTTCAAAAAAACTTATCAATCTTGAAATCAAAGTCCAAAAAATATCATGGTGGATTATTAATCCTTAATTCATGCACATCAATATATACGTAGTAGTAAGAAAGGGATTGATGAAAATTCGCACTACAAGTATGATGAACATCAGAGAGCAGTTTATTTAAATTCATTTGGCCTCTATTTCTATACAAATGAAGTGTATATTACTTAAATTGAAAAAATGCTAGGTTTACATGTACGTGATGCAGCATCATTGCAACAGCCACTTCATTTTTAGAGTACACACTGGTAGAGTAAAAAAATATGTATTTCCGCGAATATTAACTCCGCGAATAAATTCCCCGCGGTATATTATATTATTCATTATATTGATATATTTTGTAAAATTACAGACAACTTATGCATTTAATGATAAAACTTCACTCTTTTTGACTACATCACTGGTTTATTCTATATATTTGCCCTTACGTGATACATTAACATTGAAGTAATTTTACAACTTACTTTTTTCCAACGCATATTCAATATTTCGAATATTTATTTTATTTGGTTTAGTTAGTTAGATGCTTTTATTTTAAAAATTCGCAAAAACTTATTGCTGGAACTGTTAACAATTTTTTCACCCTTCGTACTATAGTTTTTCTTTCGACTTACACTCAGGAATATTAAACACTAATAATATGGATATCATTGTACATAACTGACCGCAAAAGCCTTTGATAACTTTAAACAACGAATATTTCGAAGTTTGACGGCGGTTAAATTCGGTTTGACAATCAAGAATCAACCGTATATACTGATAAACATCACTTACCTCGTTAATGGACATTTCACCATTCTCTGAGTGTGTATGTGGAACACTTGTGTTGTCTTTTGCTCCTTTACACATACACACCAACGCAAAGCTGATGCAGTTCCGGTGCATAATCTGAGTGATCATTCCAAACAAAGCCAAATATGCAACGCGCCATCGCCAAGAACCCAGCCTGCGGAAAAAGGTCTCTTCGCGGTGTTCCTTCTTTTCGTTTATTGATATTTGGCCACATCTACAACTTTTGATTGCATGATACTGTTCCAAATTCACCGTAGAAAGGTCTAAAATAGAAAAATCCCTTTATAAAAATGTAGAAAAATTTATTCTGGTTTCTTTACGATTCAGTGATGTAAAGATGTTTGTCATTCGTTCTGACAATAATACTTTTATTTTGATATTGAAAAATAAAATAATTACCCTGAGGTTTGGCTTTCATTTCATAAATATATTTCCAACGGAATATAAAAGCCATTAGAAATACGAGTGTCCTGTCTTATTTGTATAAAATAAATACTGATAGGCATGACAAAAAATTCTTTTATATTGTGTCCTATGAACTTCCGGAAGTCTGAGGTCACGAAATGATTACTTAATAGGGGTTCAGTGAAGAATAGAGCCATCAATTACTGGAATCACCTTTCTGGACTACCTTCATGTTCTAGCCCTAATGCATAGGTATAATAACGTGAGGGTATTTGTTTCATAACCTGTTATATATATGTTTTTTTAATATAATATGTTTTTTTAATTATTGAAATTCTGTCAATTTTTTAATTTAAAAAAGGTTTGGTGATCTTTAAATCGTCTACAATAGGTATAGTAATGCTTATACAATGAATTTAACTTGTGAGTTTATTTCACTTTAATCTTCATCATCAAATAAAGTACTTTACAAAAACAAATCATAAATTCTTTTACTAAAAAGATTTAATGAAATGTAAATGTTTAATCTCATTTGGTGAATTAAGAATTTTTTAAAAGATTTAACTTCTCTAAACATGCTGCACACACGCATATGACTTCTGTGCAAGACATGGTTTTAGATTAGGAAAAATGTGTTTAAATAAATTCATAGTATAGTAAATTTACACATACATGTGTATGCAAGAGGTAGTCTAGACCACTCACATATCTGTTTTAATAACGCATGGTTCTGAGATGAGAGATCAACTATGTGGTCCCACTAATTAATGAGGCATGATTAACAGCTACCGTTAGTATATTGTTTGTCAACAACAATAATCCATTATGTTTGTTAAGTAAGAGCGACAAAGTAATGTCCATAAGCATCAGTGCATGTTTTCAAGGTTGATTATCAAACTTATTATTGTACAAATATAAGGTCAAAACATTTGGTAGACCTACAAGAAACTAACTTCTAAAAGTTTTTGTAACTGAAACACTTCATAATTTTTTTTTTCAAAAAAGGCAACGTACGATAGTCTTTATCTTTATTGGGACATATTTCATTGTAGAGTAATTCGAATACTATTTTTAAAAAAGAAACAATAATGAATCGATTCACAGATAAAAATTTCTCGCATAGCAAACATTAAAATTTGTCCTACATTTCTTTGCAAAGCAATTTTAAGAACTTGTGTATGTTATGTCCTCTTTCATGTTCTAATATATTTGGGTGGTCTTTCAAAATACTTAACATTTGAGGGATTTTTTGGCAATATACAAAGTAAGTTATGATGTGCACATTAACCCATAACTAATAAAACAGGAAAATTATAATATTAAACAAGTGATCTCTTAGATTTACTTGACATTGTCTGTATCATTAAAATGCCAACTTGATAAATGTGGGTGAAGTTTTCTGTTGTCTTGGTGACCTCTGTGTCTTTTGTCTCATTGGGATAAATAGCGGTTATGGCACTTAATTAACCTACTTTTGAAATTAATAATTTGATTTTTTATTTTGCTAAAAAGAAAAAAAAATTGAAAACCTGGTAAGGTGTAGACTGTTTATTAGTAAAACTGATCAAGTCTTTTGTATAATTCTAAATGTTGAGGATGTAAATCGTTGAATTAATGAATTTTTACGTTCCTGTTGAAGAGTACTGTTAAATATAAGTAGACAGTCAAAGTTCCCACTTGTCATTTTAATAATACACTGAAATCATCAAACTTCCAACCCTGTACAAACTTGTACGGTAATGTAGAGAATCTGTTCCATCTGTTCTAGATATCTAGGACTGAAAAAAAAGTTCAATTTGCCTTTAGGTCCTTAGTATTGCAGAAAACGGTAATTTCCGCTTGTTCTAGTTATATGCACTTTTCTCTGAAAAAATACGGAAACATAAAAGAAATTATAAATGTCGTTAGGAATTATGTATCATCTGACAGTATTATTTTGTATAGCAAACGTTTCAATTATTATGACACTGCATTCACGATTTCTATATTCAGATGCTAAGAATGATGTTAGATGAACCCAAATGATACACTATTACAGCACAATAACATGACATTTATAGTATAATTCATGAGTTCTGTAACACACTGAAACACAAACTAGATACATGTTTATTTCATATCTTATTTGTTCTTAGAAAGCTTGATTTCTATTTATCAAATTTACTTAAATTAAAAATAATTAAACCCTTATGTTTGCATTAGCATTGTAAATCTAAGAAAATTTTCATACATGCATTATCAAATGTTATCCAGTTTATTGGATATTTTAACATTTCTTACTTTCTGATTTTACGCATTGTGATGGGGTTATCTATTAAAATTAAGACGTAATTTAGCGAAGCTTGCATTGCAACTCAAAGTAAAATCAAAAAAAGAAAATGTTACAATAAACACAGTAAGTAACTTTTAAATTACCAAGATATAACTCAAGAAGTAGATACAGTTTACTATTAAAACAACACTGGAGGAATCGGACGCCATGGAAGAGTAAGCATCGCTTGTCGATCAGTGTCGCGTTATATTAGGTCAGCCTTGTTTTAAGGTCAAATCCACCTTGTGTTCTTTGTCATATTCGAGCAAATCGAGAAAAAAAACCGTGTACAATTCAGTGAGTACATAATGAGTCATCATTCAGATTTTATTTGTTGACATGGTAAATATAATGCATATTTGGAAAGAAGAACATGAATGCTTGTTGTGGCCTTCACCTCGACATTTAGATATATCGACGACATATTGTCAACTAACAATGGTTATTTCCATTCTTATTTCGATACCATATATTCCGGTGAGCTCGAAATAAAAGATACTACAAAGTCTGACACATGCATCTGTTTCATATTAAGACACTCACTTGAAAAAGGCGTTTATGGTAATCTAACAACCAAGCTTTGCGATAAATGTGATGACTTTAGCTTTTCAATCGTCAACTTCCGTTACTTATGCAGCTATAAACCTTGATCAGCTGTATACGGGGTTTATATCTTTCAGTTGATTCGATACACACGAGCATGTTCTACGTATGAACAACATCTAAAAGTAGGTAAATTATTGACAGAGAAATTGCTGAAACAAGAATATCAACAGTCTCGTTTAAAGTCATCACTTCGTAAGTTCTTTAGTCGACACAATGACCTTGTCAGCAAATACAGTTTATCTTCAAGTAAAATGCTGACTGATTTTTTCATACTAATTGTTAAACCATTTTATACACACTGAATTGTCGAGAAATTTTTCTGTTATTTCCCGATCGTGACAAAAAGCACATGGCGGGTAAAACAGGTGTACGGGGATGTTCTCTCCTCCATGGTACCTAAACCCATATCTTTATTTATTGGAGGTCCGTGTTTGCTCTGATCCAATTTTATACTGAGCTTGATTACTGTTCGTTATCTCCATTTATTACATAATTTTAAAAAAGATTCTTGAAATCTATAATATTTTCTCTACAAAGTAGTCATTATTATTATTATTTTTTTTTTTTTCATATTTGATTAGCAGTGAAGAATACTATATTTAATTAGCCAAGAAAATTTATGGAGCGCCAATTTAACAGCTAGATAATTATTCAAATATATGTGTCTATCTTCAATTAACTGTAGGCCTACCTATCTTCACATCAATAGTACCTATCTTCAAAAAATGATACATATCTATAACTACATTTAAAATTGTTTTAATTCAATTATACTTATCTTTAATTCATTTGAAGAAAGTTACATATTGATTTGAAGATAGGTATAATTGAAATGAACCTTTTGTTTAATTATTAATTATAAGATACTAACAACTATTCCCAATTAAAGCAATACATTGTTGTTTCAATGACAGAAAAATAGAACATTTATAAACTTCTGTAGTTCATATTTGCTATGAAAGAACTTTTTATACGCGTTGATTGAAGTAAAATTTGAATTATTGTCGTCCTGTAAATAATGATTTCTTATATAATACTGTATATTCGGTTGTACAGAAATATTTCTTCTGAAGCATTCTTAAACTTTATTTTGGTTTTATTGATCATAAGGGTTTAGATTATATACAGATTAATCATAATAACACATTTTACCAGCAAAATGAAATTCTAAAAAATGCAGCTCATATTGCTTTAAATACATTTTACAGTTCATTCCTTGTTCAACTGCCAATTGATAAAGATTTAACTTTAATTTTTTTTTTTTGTGTGTGTGTGGATATGTTTTAGTTGTATCTTCAAATCAATAATACGTTTCTTTAATTCAATTGTACATGGAACTATCTTTAATTTAGTTGTACCTATCTTCAGAAGAGTGGAAGTCCTCCATAGTTAGGTGTAATTTAAGTCGTTTTAATCCTTCTGGGTGATGTCGCGAAAGACCCTTCGTAGTACTTCTGATTGTTTGGAATATCGAAGTCTTCTGGGTGATGTCGCGAAAGACCCTTCGTAGTACTTCTGATTGTTTGGTAATATCGAAGTCTTGACTCTTGTCATGTAAACCGAAAGTGGCAAGTTAAAATGGGTATAATTTTCATTCATTTTGATTGAAAAGCTCGAACAATGGATCTACGATTTTCCCCGTGTATATAGTTTTCTATCAATTAGTTTGTAGAGCGGATTATGTCAGTTATTACCCACATTATAACTTTAGTCCTCGGCTTTCTGTGGGGGTTAGCCATGTATTACCTGTATTGGCCAAAGAAACAACAATGTAAGTATAATTCAAACAGAAAGATCGGGAAAATATATTTCAAAATGAAATTCACTTTAAAGTCAGTAAGGTTTATGAAGTAGAATTATCAATAAGCGTTATTTATTTTCTTTCAGGCGTTGGGGGTGACCAGGAAACTAATATTATGGAAGCCGATTCGGACAATCTGTGCTCTATTTGTTTTGAGAGGAATAGAAACTTGGCCTTTCAGTGTGGACACACTTCATGTGATCAGTGTGCAAAATTTTTAAATTATTGTCATATATGTCGCTGTTCAATTAGAGAAAGGTTAAGACTGTATCTGTGACAAACTTTATAATTTAATTATTCCTTACACAGGTCATCTCAAAATGGTCTCCAATCATTAAGCCGATGATCATTACTATAAATGACAAATGTCATAAACTAAGGGTTTTTTTAGTTGAAATAATTATGCAATTTAAGCCCTTGATTGTTTTTTAATTTTGTTATGTTTTACGCAAAATAAATTGTTCTCTGATAAACTAAACTCTGCTTTGAAATGAGTTGATTATTTGCTGAGAATAAGGTGTTATTGAAGAAAACGGTTACTCCCACATCCTCGAGAGAAACAAATGAATAAATGCCAAAATGCATGTCTGATTAATATAATTGGTTGGAAAATCATTTTTATATCGTTGTAAGATTCAGCATGATTGTATGCCTAATGTGTTTTACTTTAAACCTTCTGTAATGAATGACCCTCGTCCACTAAAAATTAATTGATTAAAAATATTATACTTAAAAAGACGAAGATGTTTTTGCCAATCCTGTTGATATCATATCACATTGAAATTTTAATTATTATTATTATACACAATTTATAAAGCGCTGAATATAATATAGAATTACACTAAAGCGCTGTACATTACAATACACGAATATATATATATTGGCATAAAAACATAAAAATTACTATAAAAATACATCTCAAAGCCATAAGAATATATGTATACAAATAAACATTAAAAAAGACTAGATATGTTTACATGTAAAATGCTGTATGCGTGGTGTCCCATGTTATAAGATAATTTAAATTTAAAAATCAAATATTTTCACTAATAAACAAATTTCACTAAGTTAACACATTTTGGAAGGAAATATTGACACAATCAACAGTTATCAAGTCAAAAGTTCAATGACGCTTTGCAAATTTGGAACAAAGAAAACACGGGCCTTTAAAAATAACACACATTGGATCAAGTGCTACATGTATAGAGGTGTATACATCCTCTGTCGACGTGCACATCCGTCATGTGCTCCTTATTATGTTTGGACAAACGGGAAAATCTGTGGACGATAGAGAGTGTAAACAGTTAATATGAAAAACTTCAGTTAGCATTCATCTTATTGACAAGGACATTGTATCAACTGAATTGATGACTTTTAAAATATGACGATGCTGTTAATATCCTTGCTTTTTCACTTGATTATCAATAGCTTGCTTTGTAAAAAAAATTATTTTACAGTTGTGTTATACAGTTGTGTTGTTAAATTAGCATTAACATCTTTTTCTAGTAAAATATCTAACTATATGAAACAGATATGGTCAAACTTTTGGATTTCTTTTGTTTCAAATTCACGGAGATATATCGAGTGGACATACATGTATGAATGGAAATTTATTTTAATTGATAATACGTCATCGTGTTGAAGGCATGTGTTTTCTCCTCAAGTTTAAGTTTCTGAAGAAATTCTGGTTTCTATACATAAAAAAAATAGTCCGCTTATAATGGCAAGCAATTGGTATCCATGGGAACGACAGATTATTAAACGATCTGATCTCCAAATCCACACATTTATAGTACAAACAGTTTAGATATTATCAATCAGATACTCCAACATCTATTGAAAATCGGCTCCAAAGTACTTGTGTATACAATCAGAATCTTATCTAACAAATTCTTTTGCAGATGACTACTGTCAACGTAATTTTTATCAAAATGTCGTGATTTCAATTTTTCTTGAATGTCCTCTTTGGTTTTATGAAAATCCACATCTGTTTAACATCAATTATAAAAAAAAAATATTACTGTATAGTATTCTAATAGTTTCTCCGTCATTTTTTTAAACAAATATTAGTGAGGGATAAAGAAAGAGGTTTATTAAAACATTGAATGAAACTTCATTCATTCACCTTTTGAAGGATTTTTTCATGAATTTTAGGAATCCAATATAGTTATCGCTATTCAAATTCATTTAGATTGTTTGGAATATTAAAAACACTTAAACTGTCAAATGATTTTGAAGAATTTCCTCCTTAGAAAGGGAGCTATGGGTATATGTTGGCTTACCAATTGTCAATTATATCCCAGTTCCTCTAGATCTAAAATACAACAAAATAAAGACCCTTACAAAGACAAAGTTGTTACAATATGATGTACATGTTTTATCAACTGGGACCAGTAAATATTGATCATATCGCATATCTGATTCTATTTTTTTAACTTTTTTCTCTTTTTTTTCAAATGAAGGACCACGCTCTGTCAAAAAAGAATAGAACCAAAAGAAGGCAATAAGTTTTGATGTATTTTTTATACCCCCCGCTTGAAAAGCGGGAGGGTATATATGATCTGATTCTATTTTTGTAACGCTTTTTCTCTTTCCGCAACTCCTCTTATACTACTGAGTGAAATTTAATGAAACTTTCACAGAATCTTTATTACATATTGCCATTGTGCACCTCCTATTTTACTTTTTTATTCGACACGTATTTTAGGTTTCCCAGAGCAAAACATGGACATTGCCATTTTTTGTTTACCTATGACGTCACATAAAGAGAAGCTTCTGGATAACATTTGATAGGACGAGTTATTCCTCTTTACACATTACCGTTATATAGCAACACATTTATGGGAGGCGGGGGGTATCATTTAGTGAGCTCATTGCTCACAGTACCTCTAGTTTACTCGAGAAACATTGAACCCGAAAATATGTAACATATGTTAACCTGTTGGAATACTGAAGTTTGTTCAAACGAAAGCCCTTGGGGTTTTGATGCATCTACAATAGGAATACAAAGGATAGAAAGGAAAGCATGGGGAAAACCTTTCGAAATTGATGAAGAACATCAAGACAAAGACCATGGTATTCTCAAGCAGTCTAGATTTGAAAAAAAAATATTTGAACCATTGCTCCGTGATGTAGCATGACAATAGGGGATTTAAGCTTTACATGGGAATACCAGGTATATAAGAAATAGTCATATCTTGTTTCGAGCATCCTCAGGTAGTGTACATAAAATTTGTGCAAGTCATGGCTCCAGTGAAAGGGGGTCCACTATCACAAGTCAAAGTAATACATTGAAATGATACATGTACTCATTACAAAAAGATATATGAATAATATTATCAGAATAAAAGCAACACAAATCTGATACATACAATAATAATTTTTCTATAAATTTTTCAGTACATGAAAAACCTTGTTAGTCATATTGCTATTTAAGCATCCCAATATGTTCAGTTAAATCCTAACTCATTGCTAGGTTGCAGCAACACTATTGTATCAAAAGCAACTTGTACAAAGTGACTCAGGGGAGCATTGTGGTTCTTCGAGCTCTTGATTTAAATCATTGCTCAGTAAAAATTCATAAGGCAAATAAAATACACGGATCAACTTCTTTTTATTAAAGAAAAGGATTCATACGTTGTAATGTGTTATTTTTCTTGCTTCAAAAATGCCACTGATTTGAAAAAAACATTCTTTAAAAAAATTATCTAGCGTGCCACACTACATCCATACATACATTTAAACAAACATATGAATTACTAATTTGTTATTCACAAAACGTTAATCAAAAGCCTGAAGGGCCTGCGAGTTGACTCGCTCGAGTTTTTTTCATACATCTGGACGCCATACCTTATATTCAGTTTATTTTGCATCCTAAGAGATTGAATATTATATGTCTCCATAATCGGTTAAAAAATAAAGTGTATATTGCTTTTCCATCATATATACAGGTTGGCACTAATGGGCTACCGTTCATATTATTGTGAAAAGCAGCACAGCAAACCTGTATTCTATCAAGAATTTAAGCACACTAGCTGCAGTGGTCAGTGTTATGGAGTAATTAGTTTAAAGATTCCCACAGCAAATCTGGATTCTAAAAATAGATTTTTCATCTAGCTGCAGCTAATGAGAGCAGCAGGTGTTTGTGTTAGGGAGTATTTCAGGTCAATTATAAATAAACTTCAGATGGGAAGATTAGATCCACCTAACATGCTTGAACATGTATTCATACGCAGTAATTGTACATCATACAGATATTTAATCAAAAATTTCTTTAAAAGCTTGAAGACATAAATGATATAACAATATGAAATTTTATACAGTTTTCACCTCCTAAGTTTATACAATCACTCAAACAAAAGCATTTTTACTAGAACTATCATATTTGGCGGATGGATCACCTTGATGAATGCGTGATAAATTTTACAGCTCTGAAACGGCTATGTCAACAGGGAGTAGCTCGCTACGCGAGCCAACTCAAAAACTATTTACTATAAGACAAAGTGAGAGTCTATCACTAACGTTATGTTGTTTTCAAACAAGTTCAGCCAACAAAAATATTTTGCCTTTCTTCTTCAATCTCGCAGAGAATACAGTGGACCTTCAGATATCTATATTATAAAAAACAGAATTTTAAAATGTTATTATGTCTTGTTTAACTGGAGATTCAGGTATCCGGACGCTTCACATATCCGGACAAATTGACTGGGAACCAAAGCGTCCGGATAAATGAGGCTCCACTGTATACATCTTATTATAAAAAATTGAAATCTACAAATTGCAAAACAAAACGTAACAAAAATGTTTTACGGTTCACTCTTGATAATTGAGGCAAAGTTAAACTAAATGTATGTCGTAAGAAAACTCTTATATCACTAACAGTCTGTCTTCTTGTAACACCCAATCTTTAGATAACTGTTTAGTGGTTAAATCTGGTCTAGTTGCTATCCTCAAGCGCTGAAAAGTAAAAAAAAAATGTATCACGTCTCAGCTTATATTCCTCTTTCAATTAATTTTTTTCTTTCTTTAATGGTTTCATCTTTTAACAAATTGCAAGAAAAAAATAAGTTTAATTTTAAAATGCTTTAGTCCAAAATCATTTAGACAGCTTTAATCCAAATTAGGTTTTTATTTCTTAATTTATTTAATTTCACAAAGGCTTTGGATAAAAACACCAATGCCTCTTGTATGATGGATTTCAATATGTTAACTTACTTTATGTCATTGAAACAAGTAAGGTTGTATAAAAACATTGACGTTACAGTTTTCAAAATTTAAGAGAGGATATTTCTGCTATGAAATAGAGAGATAAAGAACAGTTATCAAACTCAGAAGTCCACTGCAACAATACATGTCAAAACAACAATATATACGGGGGAAAAAGTATATGCTTATATAATAAAATTTCTAAGACTTTCTAAAGGTGATTGTAAATATTTTTACCTCTTTCATTGATCCTTTTAAGGACAGCAGCTTAAAGCCTGCATAAATCGGGATACAGCACATAGACACAAGGGCTAGCATCAGTCCAAAGGCCTCTGCCCAAGATGGATACTCATAGACATTGTTATACTTTAATGCTTTAAATCCTAGGACTTGAAACGCAAAAATGCCCTGTTGAATAAAACAGTGTTCTCATTTGTAGCAAACATTACAAAATCCCTCTTAATAGTTTGACTGCTTGTATAGCTTTATCGAAGGAACTTTTTACAATCGAAGGAAAGAATAAAATGGTCTTCTAAATACCTAACACCTGAATTAATAGAATATTTACGCAAATATACTTCAAAACTATTTGGCTAGAAACTTGTCAAAATCCGTCCTTAATTATTTTGTTAAAAACGACGAGGAACAGGATTTTCAAATATTAAATTAATCATGTTTCATATAAGGGATTTTTCAATTTATAGGAAAATTCAATTTTCAAGATTTTAATTCTTTCTTTCAGGTGAATAATATATTAAGGAAATGTTACATGTATATAAAACACTTACAGCTGTTACTAAGGGAGTAAAGTATTTCCAACAGATATAGAACCATTTCGTAATTCTGTAACCGATCATCAACTCTATGGCATCGTAGAATTTTTCTGCGCCTAGAAATAAATGAATTAAAAAAACAATCCAGAGATTTTCAAAACTTTTATCATTTATTTATCTTTGGTATTTTATGGTATAAAATAATGCTAAGGAAAATAATTATATGCACACTTGAAGATAATTAAACAGTATGACTACCGAAGATCCAACCAATGACTATACACTCCCAGAAGGCCACCCATAGCAGCACCATGCCGGAAGCCGAATAAAAATCGTACAACTGAAACACGTACATTCCTCCCTAAAAATATTGCATAAAGAGCATAGATATATTATATGTTCTATTCATCTGATGCATAGGCGTCGGAAGGAAATTGAAAGTGGGGTGGCTAATTGAAAGGGGGGGGGGTTAAACCAACAAGGAAGGTAAACCCCAATTTTCAATGGATATACGAGGGGTGATAAAAAAGTTCGCAAACTAATTGAATAACTTCCATACAAGAAACAATATTTGGTTTTAATGTTGATTATGTTTTTTATGTTTTAAATCAATCCTCCCCGATTTTAATGCACATCAACCACCGTTCTGCGCATGCGCGAATCACGTGATATTGGCGGTCACGTGACCCCCTCCGTAGCGTTCTGTCACAAAAGTTAAAAGATTTTTCCGAGTTTTATATTTCTTTCCATGTGAGTTAATTTTTATGACAAGAACAGTTAATTTGTCAGAAATGGTCATATCTCGGCAACAGAATGAGTGGATAATAACATCCTTTCCAAAAAAAAGCATGGCGACCATTAAAACACAAATCTTCTGTCTCAGGAGAGAGCTTTATTCAAGGTGGATAGAGAATGGGTGAATCCTTTTTATCATATCTAATATGTTTAAAATCTAAAGTAAACGATATCTTAGGTATTTAATACTTATATCATTGTTCAAATATTCAACTATTTTTCAAAATGCTAATTGGAGGTCTTTGATAGCAAATTTCTTAATTAAAAATACATATCTTTTCAAACTTGCTTTCATAGGGCAAGATGACAAGTATCATTTTTAACCATCAGCCTTCCTTCACTAAAACGATTAATCCAATCATTAATTGAATTTATAGGAACTCATTTATCTCAATAAACTGTGTACAAATTATTATATGATACTGTAGAGGGATTTCTAAGATATTACAATAAATTGTACAGTCGTTTGTTGAACGAGTTCGACTGAGACAACCATTTTTTGTCACAAGTGACCTAAATAGTGACGTCATTTTCACATTGTGACGTCACAAACAAGGAGAGAAACGTTATTCAGCATATGCTATTTATAGACCTTGTGTATAGCTATGTGTGTACCGAATTTCATTCTAATCTGAATTGTGGTTTTGTAGACATAGAGATAGTTTGCGAACTTTTTGATCACCCCTCGTATTATGTTTATCTTGGCAAAAAAGTGGGGGGGGGGCTAACCCCCCACCCCACTCTTAGTTCCGAAGCCTATGTGTTGAAATGATAAAAATAATGAAAACAGATTAATCTTACTTTTTATCATATGATTTGTTGCTTGTTGAAACAAAGTATATTAATAAACAGTGATCAATCCAATAAACTTGTATATATTCATCCCCCTTTATTTTCACCTTTACACTTGCAAACAATTTTGTTCCTTTTTAAATTCACCCAGACAAGTTTTGTTTAATAAATCCGTCCAGTATTAAAATTGCCTATTTTCCATGAGAGAAAAATGTGGAAATAAAACGGGGTGAAATTTCCCCTAAACATAATTTTCAAACCTTGAAGATGTCTTACCCGTGACACCATGGAGAGACCGAATGCAAACCAAATGACACACGTCATAGTCGTCAGTATCATTCTACCCTTTGTTTTGTATAAAACACGAGGGAACATGTCACTTACGTGGGCCAAAAATGATTCCACCGTGACAAACTAAAACAAAAGATATTGGAAATCATGTTGCAGATAACGAAAGAAGTCAAAATGTCTCTTATGTCTAAAAAGTTGACTTAACGGTAAATTGTTTTAATTACTAGTATATCATGTCAATATCTATACTGTAATCAGTCGACTCTTTGCAATGCTCATCAAAATTAAAAGACACTGAAAATAGATTTTTGTTTGGTTTTTATAATTTTCGTTACAATGCATGTCCGTAACTTAAGTACTATATACTAGCATGCAGTTTTTCATCAGCATCGTATTATGAATGGTACACAAATGACAAATGAACATACATATATCAATTTTCTTTTCTAGCACTTGTGTGTTTCTTTTCAATACTGTAAATCACTTTTTATTCGCGAGAACTTTATTTTCGTGTAATTACGCGAGACGGAATGCTCGCGAAAATTTCATTCTCGCGTATTATAGAATTCCTTAAGATTATATAGAGCAATGACCACAATTAGTGAAAATTTTGTCTCGCTAATAAAGAGTCAATTACTATCTCGCGAAAATAAGGTGTCGCGAAAATTAAGTGATCTACTGTATTAAAAATGAAGAAATTGCATTTGAGGGTAATTTATATGCAGCATGATATATCATTACTTATAATCAAAGGTTAGCAGTAGGTTATATTGTAAGAGTAAAATTTTTTTTTTTTCTAATTATATTAATAAATATTAAAATGTGTCGTATTCTAATTGTATATATTTCATTTCAGCTCATTAAATAAGTTTAATGGTCACTCAGCTGTTACTTGTAATGCAACCCTGTTAATTATTCGCCTAAAAGATCATAATTAAAGTCCTGGCAAGAAGTCGTTTAAGTTCTTTGTTTCTGTCGGGTTTCAGTTTTTGTGTTTTTCTGTTTTATTGGTTTATCAAATTTCCTCCAAATATTCTTGGTTTTTCTGGACACTCGTTGCTCTAGATAGTTTGCAGAGAGGTCATATTGATTTTATATGTACACTTACTTTGACAATATCTTCATCTTCTGGTTAGCTAATATTTATTTACTAACCTGTTATACTTTCCATATAAATCTGCATTGCATTTTTGCACAGTAAGAAAACTATTTTAGAAGTCAGATTTTTATTTAGCTTTTAGTATTAAAGCTAGTGTATTTTATGATCCAGAAAATATGTACGTATGTATTTTATGAATTATATTAAATCTATGAAAATTCATACTAATTAGTTATCATCTGTACTCCTAGTCATTTGTGTTGTAAATATGTAAATATGCAGGATCTTGCGTGTTCCCTTAGAATGGTATGCTAATGTTTTTTATAATTTATTGTTTATTAACAAAAGGCATATCATGTCTATGAAGATAGTATAAGCTTGAATAGAAATGTATATTTTATTGTGAAGTATTTTGATTGTATGCACAAATGTAATTCAAAGGGAATGTTGCATTAGGTGTAAGGAATGAAATAAATGGAGACAACGAACAATAGGCTTAAAAGTCCATTAAAACAATAGGAAATGGGAGTAGAGCACAACGGACCTCCAAAACCTTAAAGAGCATCCCCTGCCAACCAGACACACCTGCCGTGTGCTCCTTGTCACGATTGGGAAAATGGGAAAATCCGTCGTCATTCAAGTGTGTAAATAATAGACTAACAATTAATATGAAAAACGTCGGTCAGCGCCTGACTCAATGGTAAACTGTATTTGCTGACAATGTCATTGTACCGACAAAATAACTTACATTTCAAGATGATGACATTAAACGAGACTGCTGATATTCTTGTTTCGTCTACATGTTTGTCAATAATTTAGTTTTAGAAATTGTACATACATAGAGCATGTTCTGGCATATCAATTCAACTGAGAGATGTTAACTCCGTATGCAGGTGATAAAGATATATTGCTGCATGTGTAAGAGAAGTTGAAAAGTTAAAGTCATCACGAAGCATGAAGCTTGGTTGTAAGATTACCATTAACGTCTTTTCCATATTAAATATCCAAATATGAAACAAATGCGTCAGACTCTGTGGTATCTTATATCTCAAGCTAACCGGGATTATTTTGTATCGACACACATGTAAGAATGTAAATAATCATGATTGTTAATTGACAATACGTCGTCGCTAAATCTAAATGTCGAGTTGAAGGCCACAGCAAGTGTGTTTTCTTGTTTTCACGTATAAGACTTTGGACAAATTCTGCTTCATATAAATACAAAAATATAGGTCTGTTAATAACGGGGCGTAATTGGTACCCATGAGAATTTCAACAGATTGTTGGAAGACCTGGTCTCCAAAAAACACATTGATATTGTCAATCAGAAACACAAGCATCTTTTTATGTCAACTTCACAAAGAATGTAAAAATTCTCTCTTAATGCAGTATTATGTATTATTGATTTTATGGTATTTTGATATCTTACTATACAATAAACAGAATGAACCGTAACAAACGATTTATAAATACTAGTATAACATCATATATAGAAACTCTGTTACAGTATACCTGACTATCGATTCCGATTAGAAATAACATGAAAAAGAACAGAATGGACCAAAGATGAGGTAGAGGCATCTCGGAAACCGCCCTAGGATACACCATAAATACTAAACCTGGACCTGAAAAAGATCAAATAATAAACGCAAATAATTTAGTTTTTAGAATTGTTTTTGAAAAATTAAATGAAATATCTATATTTTGTGTACAGCTGTGTACATGAGCATGTTCAATCTCTTTTTGGGATTTACACTAAAATAGATTCCTTCTTATAATATTAGGTTTATGAAAGCTACTTGAATCATAAATTGCATGCACATTACACCATTACAATCCCATTTCATTAAGATGTTCAGACCTGACTCAGCGACTTGATCAATATGAACATTCTGCTGATGAGACATAAACCCAAGAACAGAAAACACCACAAATCCGCTCAGAAAACTAGTTCCAAAGTTGACGGATGCCACGATTAGAGTGCGCCTACAAAAAATAGTTCCTTAAGAATAATCAAAAATTATAATGATGAGAGATATAATCACATAATTTTGATATTTCATACGTATGTCAGATAAAGTGACAACGCTGGAGTTAATTATTCTTTCCTATATACGTAAGTTTGTACGAAGAAAAGATAAATGATTCAACTGGTAATCAATCTATTAAATAAATTACATTATGTTTGCTGTGTCTTCGATTGTTTGTACGTTGTACAAATATTTAAGAAAATACATGCAATTTTGCATTTATTCATCTTGAGTATTCAAATTCCTACTTATAGAAATCGGTATTGAAAGTGTTATAACTCCCGAGACTTATCATGGCTCCAAGGGCAATCGCAGCGGAAAAGAAAACCTGTGTTCCTCCATCCACCCACACCTGTGGAATAATGACTGACTATACACAAGTTCTTAACCGAGTAGGCAAGACTTCAGCCAACCCTCGGTCCTTCTCTTTCATGTTGAAAAATCAAAATACATCAAGTTCAAAGTAATAACACAGGATGTTATTGGTATTCTGATGAAATTTAGAATTATTAATTTTGTATGTTCTAATTATAAAGGTAAGCTATGTCTCTATATAAATGTTGACAAAATAGTTCGAGTACACTATCGTAACTTGGTGTCTCATAAATGTGCAATTTACTTCGTAAAGATATATTTAGCGAGAACTTTGTTACAATTTGCACATACTGTTCTGATCTACGAGGGCCGTTCAAAAATTACGCGGACTGTGCTATTATTTACTCTTACAGACGTCAAATAGTTATAAAATTTCACAGAAATATGTATCTTAAAGATTCCAATAAATTTTGGGCAAAATTTCTGTATTTTAACAAAATTCTACTAAAATTATCGGTATGTTGATATCGTTGATGGAGAGGTACGGCGCACGACAAAAAAATTGAAGCAAAAGCATGCGGATTCAAAAATTTAACTCATTGATTTTCTAAAATTCGCGATATTTTTCAACAATTTTCTCAAATGTACCTTTAAATTGTTCTATCATTATGTATTTAGAATTTGGACGTAATATTTGAAGTACTAACAGAAATATAGTGATTTTTCTCTGATGCGATTCCCGTGAAAACGACTGTGAAAATGACGTTTCCTGAATTGACGGCGCACCAAACTTTTGTTAAAATATGTGTAATGCTCAAGATATCGGCAGCATAGATATAATAAAACATGTAGTAAACTAGGCTACTCGTGACATTTGCCCACAAATAGCAAATTGAAATTTTAGACAGTAGACCTCTGTAAAAAGGCTATACGGGAGGACGGGAAGAAGATTATAGACGAAAAGTTAACTTTATCCGGACTGTAAAGAGCGTGATTGAGAGTCACCAATATCACACTATATCTCATAAGTAGTTTTTGGTTTAAAAAAAAAAAGAATATTCTTTACTTGTTTTATAGATTTTAAGCTTGACAAGTAATGGTGTTTTGATGTTGAGTAGCTAAGGTAACTCAAACTATACAGGTACTCAAAGGAAAATGTTGAGAAAATGAAAGCTTAATTACATATTTTTTATAATGCTTGTGACGTCGAAGATTTTGCTGCGCCGTGACTTAATGGTATGTCCTGAATAATACCAATTTACAAATTTTTTATATGAAATTTTGAAGACCATATAAGTAAAGATTCTTTTATATTATTTGTGAAATTTTGCCCGATTATGTCGTCAAATATTTCTTCTGTGCAACAAGTCCGCGTAATTTTTGAACGGCCCTCGTATATCTATTTAAACTAGAAAGAATTTAATATATTAAATATATGCTTTAGTTTATAAATCAAAACCTAAGATATTTTTATGGGTTTTTTTTCGCAAAAGATGTTTCATGAAAATTTCTACGAAGCCTTTATTGACAGATTTCTACATTTACATCATTAATTTATCAAAGAAATAAACTGAAGGATTTTTTTCTCGTATTCATTTGTCTTTTTAAAATTGAGAGAATTTTGGACGGATACTCCCAAGCTCAGGCTAATGCGACCATTAAAATTTCAGTATATTAATTATTGCATTTATAACCTACAACCGTATATTCATGTCCAAGGTCCCCTGTTTATTGTATATAATAATAATAATAATAATAATAATAATAATAATAATAATAATGCTTTATTTAGAGAAGGTAACCCGATTAGTACAAGGTACTATTCTTCCCCGGTGCCTTCTAATAATATATTGTAATGTATTTTTAATCAGCATGAATGCAGCGCATTGAATTTATCTCTGTTTCAAATTTCAAATAGATATTTCCGCCGAAACATTACTGAAATTCATCAATCTATCAATCAATCAATCAATTCAAAAAAGTTTTTCCTCATAACACACGTAGTTATCAGTTAAAAATAATTTAGTGTTTTCCAAATACGCTTTATATAAATATTTGTAAGTTTAAGAATTTTGATGTACTTAAATAACTTGCCAAAAAGGCACTTAATAGAATATATATGTAGCCAAATGTAACACTTCAAAAGATAATCAGCACATAGGTATTCTCTCAAAAATTAAAAAAATTGAAAAGATTACTTTTTTTAAAAAAAATTACTTGAGATAAATTCAGAATCTTTTGAGTCACGTTCTTGATAATTGTTAAGTGGTCAGCTTTGATGGTTTCAGTATTATAAACCTGGTTATTCGCTGATTAGTTATTACCTTTGACAAGATTGATAATTAATATGAAGATCATATTTACTGTATACAGGGTTATTTTTCGCCCCAAGTAATTTTCGCCTACTCACACTCGCAAACAATTTTACCCCGTTTTACATTCGCCCAGTCATAGGTTTGTTTAAGAAATTATACTGTATTCTTTGACTTCGACCAGTTTTAAATTCGCCCAAATGAAGGTTGGGCGAAAGGGGCGAAAATAAAACGGGGACGAAAATTTCCCTGTTTACAGTATTTATAATGACATCTGCGAAAAATCTTTGAATAAATATTATCCCATGAGAGGGAAACTTCAATTATTTTGAATACAATAGACCAAGTATTTGTAAGACAGAGTTTTGTTGTTTTTTTTTATTTTTGTTTGTTTGTTTGTTCAAGGCATTTTGGTTTTCCAATTTTTCATGATATATTTATCTTATTAAAAGTAAACCGATCATTTGATTTCTTAATTTTTTTTTACATTTTATTTTTAATCATTAAATCTCAAAGAACCTATTAACAAACCTGGGCGTCCTTAAGTCGAGTAAAATCCGGCTTCAGAAAATACTCGATTCCTTTTCCCGCTCCTGGAAGGGTGGATCCGCGTATCAGTAAAATAATCAGGATTATGTACGGAAACGTGGCTGTGAAGTAAACAACCTAAAACACACATACAAGGACAGGTGTAAAAAAAAAAAAGTGAGTCCTGGTTACGAGATAAGGTATGTTAGGTAAAGGAAAGAACAACAACCGTTGTAAACAGATCTGATTTTGAATAAATTGATCATTTCCTTAGTTCTGAATTTTTGCTTTTATATTTCACAGGTAAACTATGAATTTTTTTGTACCACCATCGGTTCACAAATAAATGTCCTATTAATTCAGATCTAGATTTCATATTTCTTTTTGTTATTTTAAAATAATTAGAAAATAATTAATTTGTATTTGAAATAAAAATATGCCATCTAATTTTAAATCATTCTAAATTATCTTTTGAATTTTCTTATCTCAAGAATGCTTTGCAACAAGTTTGGTCCTGGCCTCGTGATTCTTTGCAGGTAGTTGAAAATATGAAAAATATATAGATGGACACACAAACGCGGACAAAAATGTGATCAGATAAGTACACTTGAGCTTTCGACTTAGGTAAGCTAAAAATCAAAAATGGGGTAAAATATTGAAATATTTTCAAAATTTTATTTACCTTTCCACTCCATTTTACGCCTCTCCAAACACAGAAATAAACAATTATCCACATCAGTAAAAGACAGATCGTTAAGTGAGGAACCAGGCCACCTCCATCTTCTATAGACCCAGAAATCTGAATCACATGTTTCCTGTTCGAATAAGATTCGTGTTGTTATTGGGCATATAATACTGAATTGCAACATATTTCACATTAATTAATTTTACACTGCACCACACTTAGTTAATCGTGTGTTATATACACGGTAGTAAACAAAAAATGAATATCAACTTTTAACCGAGAATTTTTACTTAGTTTAGTTCATTAGTTTACTGTACTTGTTATGTTTCTTTTAGAATTTTTTACTTCATTAAAAAGAAATATGATCGAGCTTTTTGTACTCCAGAAAAAATTTTCCTCACATTTTTTTAACTAATCCTGATAAATTAGATACATAAATGGCAAAAATCGAGAACATTTATCTAGACTCACTCCCAGAACTCTACCACAGGATCCACTGGGTGTATATTTCCTAGGGAGCAGTTTGCAATAGATACGTTTTGATGGACAGTGTAAAGTGATGCGTTCGTGTATATTAAACTTTCTTCTATTCGTTCCGACACGTTGGATTTACCACCAGATGGGCAAAGCCGAGTGAGTAGTTCTTCATCTGTTGAGGCGCATCTGCCAAAAAGTAAAACACCACGTACTTTATTATAATTTTCAATGTAATTTCCATGCCTTCCATAATACTTGAGGAGGTGTTAACCGCAACTCAAGATTGCTAAACCAAAATTTCAACAACTTCCAAGTAAAATAAAAGAGTGTGTATTAAATACATGTATCTTGGGAATATTATCATAATTTACCTTTCTTTTTTGTAGTTTGGAGATAACGCACATAATTCAGGCTCTAAGTGCATTTAAATAAAAAAAAATATTGAGAGCAGAGCTAACAGACCCCCAAGAAACAACATAGATAGGATCAGCTGCCATGGAGGAGTAAGCATCCCCTTCCGACAGGCTATACCCGCTGTATTTACCTTGTCATGATCGGGTAAAAGGTTAAACCAGTGGTTAATTCAGTGTGCAAACAATGGCTACACAATAAGTATAAAAGTCAGATTTGACGCAATGACACGACACTATTGATATCCTTGTAACATCGAATTTATTAATAGCCAATAGCTTGTTCCATTTAAGAAATTGTTCCTAAATAGAACATGCTCTTGTGTATCGAATAAACTGAGAGACATATTTATCAAAGATAAAATAACATTAAAAGCAGGGATTACCAGTTGAATTATTGCATCAAACAACATAATAACAATAGTACTTAGTTATTATGTAGTATTTTTATTTTGCTGAATGGGCCACGGCCGCTTAAATGCAGGAGCTGAGGCATCGATATACTGCCTTGTAATGGCATCCTTAGAAAATGTGAACCCTGGGCACAGATGTCCACTGACTAGTCCATACTTGACTACTGGTGGCACAGACTGTGCTGCTGCACAGTCTCGTGGCGGATATTGGGCTTACCAGTAAGCTCATTGAACTCTTTTTCAACATTTTAACAAATGTTTTCAAGTACGGACTAGTCAGTGGACATCTGTTTTCAGCACAGACTGATGACGAATAAGTGCCTTGACGTCAGAGTTCCCTTGCTAGGTGCAAGCAATATCCCTAAACTATGAATACAACTGATAAATACCGGAAAAATTGCCAAGTGAACCCGATGTATTTTCGGCCAGACCAGACCACAAATATTTATTTCACTTTGATAAATAGATTTAACCTTTTGTGGTTAAATCCCAATAAGGGTATATTGCTGCATACTACATAAGATAGTGTTGTTGACAATAGAAAAGTTGAAGACATCACCTTTATCATAAAGCTTTGTTATTATGTTACCAACAACGTCCTTTTCTAGTCAAATATCAAAATATGAAACAAATGTGAGTTAGAATATGTTGTATCTTTTATTTCAAGCTCAATGGGATACATCAAGTTTATAGATGAATATTTACATTTCCAATGTCTTTGTCCGAGATAAAATTACAAATTGCAAATGTACATTATTTCCCCATCAATATATTGGCGCGGTTCCAAAAAACTACGTGCAGGGCGGAACAAACACCTAGACAGAAGCAGGGCTTGGAGCACGTGGATTGGCGGAATCAAAGCATGTAAATATAAGAAATAAATGTCAAATTTTTCAATTTCATGACGATGATCCATCGATTGGCTTGCGTGATAATTTTATGCAAATTATCATGCAACCCAATCGATTGATCACATCATGAAATCGAAAAATAAGACAGTTATTCCTTAAATAGAACTAACTATTGGTAATTGATAATACGTCTTCAATATATCGAGTTGAAGGGTTTAGCAAGTATTTTCTCTTTCTAGTGTAGAAGTTTTTTAAATAAATTCTGCTTCATATAGATTCAAAATAAAAGATCTGCAAACAACGTGGCGAAATTGGTATCCATTAGAATTCCAATACATTGTTGAAAGACCTGGTCTACATAAACTACATAGACATTGACAATCAAAAACTCAGACAAGGTTTTTTATATCAACTTCAGAGTATTTGTGTGTACAATCCAAACGTTTTTTTAACAAAAATAAGTTTTCAAATGATCAATGGCGTGGTAAATTTATATACAAGTTCCATCTGTATTGAAAAAGCAGCTTTTTTATGATGTAAAAAAGCCCGTACTTTGGTTTATAGTGGGGAATGGTTGTCATTTTTGTTAAAATAAACCGTATGTGCTATTGGTTTTGGTAAAAGTTTGTGATTGCAAACTTTTTAAAACATCCTTGGATTTTGTAAGTGTTTATACACATCTGAATTACACTAATTTTCAAATACACTGTTGTTCAGTACAATTGATATATATATATATATATATATATATATATATATATATATATATATATATATATATATATATTATATATATATATTACTATATATATATTTCATTACAACATGTATTGGTAGCAATCCTCTGTTAAAACTAATGTCCAAATAACTGTATCTCACTTCTATTCTCAATGACCGTGTAGTGTAGGGCAGCGCCGCGAGAATTCCATCAGCATCGAAAGCAAGTTTTTTGACTTGCCTAGATAGCCGAGCGGTCTTGTTCCTGCACTGCTAGGAGACAGATTCCGAAGGTTGAGTTCAACCGCGGGCTGGGGCGGAAGTGGGTATCCATGTAAAAGTGAATTTCTTTGTGCTTTCTATATATATATATATATATTAGGGATGTCAAATCGGTCAATTTTTGATACTCGGTTACTCGGACGTTTTTCCGATCGAGTACCCGGGTACTCGGTAAAAGTGTAAATAAATATGAACAAGTTAATTAATAACTGTAAAACATTGTAAATTCTTGTAGAAATAAAACCGATGGGAGGTTACCTGCAAATGCGTTGTAACAATTATGACCACTTTGTAACCGACGAAATTTAATCTAACATTTTTTTAATTTCAATTTATTTATCAGATAAATACGAGAAATAAAATCAGAAATGGTTCACATTGTTTTTGTTTAAAAATAATCTGTTCCGTAATTGTAATGTAACTCTTTGGTGCGTTTGATGTCCACGTGAAAAGTTGTCTGAGCTATGTGTACGGTATAAACTTGATCAAGTTATCCTATAACAGAGCGGATTTATACGATCTTCGTACACTTTTTGATCCTAGATTTCGTAGAATTACGATACGGTATGTTGTAGTTTGGAGCAACGATGGACATAAGATTTTTAAAGCATTTGCCTTCAATCATTTGCATTAATTGGCATGTAATCAAATGCATCCAAATCAACAATCGCACGTGCAATATCGCCTGTCTATTTCCCGAGAATTTACGGCTTCTTGGAGAATTTACAAAAATATTTAATTTGTTTAAATATAATGGACCTTAAACGATGTTCAATGAAAACAAATAATTAAAGCAAACTAAATATAAGGGAAGACGACAGTCGAAGGTGAGAAAAGCCCGGGTAGGTACATCAGGTGTTTGGTCACGATAATTACTGTATAAACACTGCCACAGGCGATAACGGTCATTTAGAGGCAAAGGAAACCCTAATTACTGTATGTACAAGTGTAATGAACATTTTACGTTTTAAAATCGATGTTTTAATGCATTAATAAATAAGCTTAGAATATTTAAAAATATACATCCGAGTAACCGAGTACCGATTTTAGTATTCGATACTCGGACGTTCGATCGAGTACCCGGTTAACCGGGTACTCGTTGACATCCCTAATACATACATATATATATATATATATATATATATATATATATATATATATATATATATATATATATGATTGGCCCCATGAGAAAAGGTCCTTATGGCAATTTTTACACATTTTTAGTTTTCCATGGATTTTAATAGAACAAGGTTAGAAGTTACCAAATATGAATTTTTATGACCCTACGTCAACTCTAAGTAAGTTTTCCTTCATTTATATTACTAATACTTTAACAGGTAAATAATGACGTCCTGTTACTTTCGCACTAACGTCAAACGTCAAAAGTTTTCAGAGTGAACACGTTTTTAACCTTTCGTCGTAACGTTAATACTGATAATGAATGTATATCACTGAGTATTCCTAGAATATTTTTTTTTGCTTATTAAATCTTTTATTTTAATTATTGTATACAATACAATAATAATTTAGTAGTACTTCGTAATAACTGTTTAGTATTTTTCCACCAATGAAAGTAACTGGTTGTTTTATATTTCACAGTGAAATATAAAACAAACAGTTACTTTCATTGATGGAAAATTGCTTTCTGTTCAATATCAATTATCTTTGTAATATAAAGCATACTTTCACAATACTAAAATATTTCTTCGTGTAAAGATTTGTTCAATTGAAAATCTTATAGAATTCATTCGAAAATCATGGCCCTCGATGCACCTAGGCCAAGCTGAACGATAAATCTTTCCAAATGTGAAAGAAATTGCTCCCAAATATTTCAAAAAAAGTCTTCGGCAACAACAATGAACAAGATACAACTGGGTTGTGAAAATTTGTGAATTCTTTTTTTTTCTTTCTAAATATAAAGACAGAAAAAAATTGTGAAATACAATTAATTACTGTATACTCTGTACAACAATTAAAGTGGGTTTTTTTTTGTAAAAATCAAAGAGTTTTAGAAGAACATATATACCAAGTATATACAAATAGCGGGTAATTTATTCCTGATTTATTAAAGCCATTCTACATGTACCTTCTAGGGTTTATTTTCAATTTTTTTATAACATTAATCCAAATTTCAAATGAAATATATTAATTTTGTCTTTTTTTAAATTTTGATATGGAATAGAATTTTTGATTAAATTATGAATAACTGTCTAAATTTTGGTTTTATATTGTGATCAATCGAGTGGCTTGCGTGTTATTTTGCAGAATTACACCGCATAAAATTTTCACACTAGGCAGTTGATTGTTCATCGCCATAAAAAATATTATTTTTTCTTATACATGTAACTACAGTCATGTACATGATCTTGATTCCGCAAATGCATGTGCTACTGTAAGTCCCGCTTCTGTCTTAATTTGTCCCGCCGCGCATGATCTTTTTAAAACGCGCCTATCGGTGAAACAATAGATTTATGTAGAAATAAAGTATTTCAACTCTTTGTAATTTTATCTCGGACAAAGACATTGGAAATATAAATAGTAAATCATCAACTAGAAGTACTGTGAACACTGAGCTCATTAAATGATTCCCCCTCCCCCATACCATGCATTATAATGGCAAACCATGAAATAAGTGTTAAACCAAAAAATATATTTGGAGGTGAAAAATGGCATTATTTATAATAAATAATAAATGAAAGTACTTCATTTAATTTTATTCTATGGTATAGGAGGAGTTGCGGGTTAGAGACGGCTACCCTTCAATATTATAAAAAGAATGGCGTTGCCCGTGTTTTGTAATCAAGGGAAATCCGAAATATGTAACCGACCAAAAAGTAAAATAGGACCAGAGGTGTACAATCTTATGGCACTACGTAAAAAAATCTGTGGATTTTCATGAAAATTTATTCAGTGGTATAAGAGTAGTTGGGGATAAGCGGTGTGTATAACAGAAGGACGGACGGACATTTCAATCACTATATACATGTCCCCCCCCTCCGACTTTTCAAGCGGGGTATAATAATTATGCATGTAAACGCCTTGTTGTTTTGAATCATATACTAAGTAAATTAATTAATACAGAAATTTTCCGTAAGGGGGAAAAGTTAAATCGGAAATTTGATATTCATTCAATCAGTTAAATGCGACTAGTTCGCAATATTTCTTGACTGGCATACTTTTGAAAATGACAGAATTTAGCGATCGAGGTGGCATGCATGAAAAATATTTGTTATGCGATGAAGTGTTTAGAATCCTCTTCTTCTCGCGTTTTTTCTTAAATATCATTGTTTTAGTCCTCTAATTTAATGTTTATCACGGGAATTATTTTACCAATAAATCATAAAATAAAATCATTTCGCTTACATTATTCAACGGCAGGTTGGGCAATTATATTATATCTAACCAATATCTGATATTATTATAATTTCAATAATAAAACGAGTAATAGATTGATAATAGCACAGAAGTCTGGTTTTTATTGTCAAAAAATATTTAGTTGAGGATGGAATTTTTTTCCGGATTTTTTTTTTGGACGATAAACCTTCAGACTCCTGTGGAAATAGAACTGTACCGCGTTCATATATATATATATATATATATATATATATATATATATATATATATATATATATATATATATATATATATATATATATATTGAAGTTTCATTTCTATATATATAATCTCTCTCTCTCTCTCTCTCTCTCTCTCTCTCTCTCTCATCAAATTAAGACACGAATGTAAACTTGATCTATCTTTTTAATTTTGAACAGTTTTATTTCAAAAGGTAGTTTTTGCTTGTTATCACTATAATATTAATTTGAAGAAAAACAACAAAGAGTTAAACATTTTTTTTTATCGAAAAAATAATTTTAAAATTAAAGTCATTTAAATGTTTTCATATCAAAAGGAGTAGAACTCACGTAACAGATTTTTTGAATTAAAAAATTCGGTTCAATGTTGCATCTATTTCTTATTCTACAATTAATCTTGTTTCAAAAGTGTTTAAAAAATCCTTCTAAATGTTTTTCAAATACTTAGTAGAACGTTTCAACTGCTGATAAATAAGATTTTTAAAAAGTCTTTTAAATATAGAATTCGGGAGCAAATTTCTATGAAGATCATCAGTTAATGAAGAAAAGAATGCCCCTCTCTGGTACCCCTTTAAAAAGTATTTCGATTGTCGGAGTTATCTCTCCTGTTTTTACTGAAAACAACAATTTTGCGTCTGTTATTTGCTGATTATTTTGCAAGATTCGGGAAACTTATAAGAATACTTTTTATCTTTGTTGTAAGAAATATGTTCAGTTTCAAATTTGTTTTAGCATTAAAGCACTTTACAACAAAAAATTATGGAAGATGCACCGATGATTCCATGTTTACATAGATCTAGATTGATGTTTACAAATGTTGAGAATACTGGAGCGGATCTCATACAGGAAAACAATTTTCTTTCCAGAATTTTAATTAAATTCCCGTGCCTAACACCTAACTTTAATTTTGTCTATACTAGTATAGAAAAAAATTGCATTTATTCATCCGCATTATTTAGAAAAACACTTTGTCTAAGCTTCAATATACACATAGAGCTAGAGGAAATGACATAGATCAGAGATCGACGTACTTGTAGTAAAGAAACTGACCTCAAAAAAAATTCTAAATAGGCCTACATTTGAATTAATACCAGTGGACCAGAAGATCCAAAATGAAAATTCAGAATTAAATTATATAAAATAAATGAAATTAAATCATTATTACTGTAATAATGTTCAAAAACCGCGATAAAGGCTAGACGTGTCAAAACGTATAACACGTGTAAAAAAAAAAATCTGCGACGACGCTCACCGTCTGCAACGTCACGTCTTTATATATATATATATATATATATATATATATATATATACCAATCGTTTATTTTTAGTTAAAAAGGACCTTTCTCATAATTAAAGAAATATGAATATAGCAGTCGCGAAATCAGTTCCAATTTACTATATCATTAACTTTGCAAATTAATTATAATTACATGTAAATTATAAGTTAATTGGACTGGCGATTCTTTGAGACAAAATATCTAGATTAATACATACTTGTTGGTGTTCCATTCATTCTGACAGTGACTCCATGGTAGAATCGAGCTCATACTACTATAAAGATAGTACAGCCCCCACGCCATAATCACGATGTAATAGGTGTTGCATAAAAAGTTGATCAGAAGGGTTGCTATTCCTATTCCTGTTAACAAACAGTCATATTTTGAAACAGTTTGTAAAAGTAATATAGAAAATCGTTCACTTACAAAACAAAACCGAAGTAGTAATTGTTTGACATACTTTCCAATGGAATTACTTAGTATACACTCCTTGTCTATACTTCTTGCGTCTTTTGAATTACTTTAAAATCATAAAGCTGATTACTTAAAATGGTTGAGTTAATGAAATAAACTATGCCTTTAAGACAAAAATTTGGTAATTTATTTAAATAATGATATACAATCTGAAGAGTGCTCCCAAACCTTGAAATAGTGGACAGATGACCCATGACTTCAGTCCCCCACGTGACATGTACTGACCGAGACCAATCTCCAGTAACATGACTGGGAGAGCTCCACAGACCAGCATAATAAAATAAGGAATCAGAAAGGCTCCTGTATCCGGAAAAAGGTAAATAAGCCCAATTAAAAGCTTAAATAGCTACTAGTTTACAACATTACATCAAGTATTTGGACACTATTGAATTAAAGCACCAGTTAGAATTTTGTAATTTAAGAACTTATTTTTCTTTCAAACATTTGAAAGCATCATTTACCTCCACCGTTTTTGTAACACAGATAAGGGAATCGCCAGACATTTCCAAGTCCCACAGCGTATCCTATACATGCCAAGAGGAAGTCTAACTTCCCCGTCCAATGAGAACGCTTGGGTTCGTCTTTGGAGAATTCCGAAATTGAGGCATCTTTTGTTGGTGTGTCCTTGTTCATGACGGCTATTCAAAGAAAATAGAGTAAATGAATAGTAAAGTACAATATCCATAACATAGTATAACAGGTTTCACAATAAACGTCAGTGAAGGAAATTGCTATTTTTCAGGATTCTACAAAAAGGGATGTGGTGGAGAGTACATGTACATCTATTTCATGCCGGATTTTGAACAATTTCATCCTTGCATGTAGGCTGTCAGTAGAAGCTTCACTATATTTTCTGTCGGTAGTGGTAACTATAAATTATCTCCTAGCATTTGTGTGGGATTTCATCAAGTTTGGTGTGATACAACAATTATTAGATTAATAATTGTATTTATGTATTTAATGCGATCATTTGTTAGGGGGTTTCCAGTAACATTTAGGTTGGTAAATTGTGGAAATTTTTCTTTTTATGAAATAGCACGCTTTGAATTGGTTTCCTACGGAATTTATGAATAGATACGATTTATTATAAGCTGCAATTTAGAGACTAAATTGAATTTTTTACTGAATTTAGATAAACTTTTCATCAGATATAAGCCGACAATGATATTGGATTTTATCAAGCTGTTTGACGATTTCTTAGCCATCTCCTCTTCTTTTTGACCTGCCTGTAAAGACCAGTGAATTACTTATGTAATTTGTTTCGAATTCTGATGAGATACCTATTTGCAATCTTACTTGTCATTAATTATGATTATATGTAACGAGAAGATATGGAAATAGTTAAACATCCAGAGACAGCTTAACTTCCTGAAAATCCCAAAGTCGGTTTGTATAAAGTTTGTAAAGTCAAGAAAATTGTTATCACTTAAAAGAATTATAAAATTGTCTTCAGAAATACTCAGTGCTTTTGAGAATCTGAGGTAAACTTGTCTGTACAGTTAAAAACGACAACAAATGCGAGAGCTCGTCTCTAGCTTTCTTATTATAATGCACTGTAAAAATCTAAACTTGTATTGCAGTGCATTTTAAATTCTGATCGATAAATCACGTTTTGATATTTACGAGACCGTTCATATACGATTAAAATGTAAATATAGGACAAAAAAGGGAAAACATGAAAAAAAAATTGCATGGGAAAATTAGGGGGGGGGGGGAGTCTAGTGATGGGTATAAAATAAGAAATCAAATGTTCAGCGAACTGAAAATGACAAAATTTACATTCATTCCATAATAAAGAACATTTGTCTGTAATTTCAAACGTAAAAATAAAACCCATTGACCTAAAAAGTTTTAATTCGAAAGAAAGATATGGAGATAACGAACATCAAGCTCAAAAGTCCACAAAGTAGTACAAAATACAGACACTAAGAAAAGTAGCACAAAAACAATTTACCCAATGAATCGTTAAAAAATAAAATAGAACCCGAATAGCGGATATAAATATTCAGCCCAAGTTTCAAGATGCATACAGGATTGACCAAGGTATATTTTTTGTTGGATGGACGTGAGCATGCTTATGAAATATCACCAATCCGCAAAAAATGGTCGCAAGCAGATTTCGAATCAATGATGGTTGCACTTATCAAATAAAAAATCAATGGGACACACTATCAATATATCACTTTTTTTAAATAAAAAAAATACGCATTTCCATTTCATTTTGAAGAAAAAATAAAATATAAATAAAAAAAATACGTTTATCTTATGAAAATTGGGCTGAAAAACCACCAAATTTACCGTTGTTTGTTTCGTTGTGAGGTAAATTCATCAATGACCTAATGTAAGTCTATAGGTTTAGGGCAATAAAAAACAAGATAGCAGAGAATGTCAATACAGTAGGAAGTACATGGGTGAGTCTGACCTATCTAAACAGGACAAGAAGTCTTAGGACGATAGATGGCAGAGTATCTCGAGTCTTCAGGTCAGGAAGAAGTGACTGAACATTCATCAGAACAACAACTTAATAATATATAAATGTAAAATGGTCCATTACTCTACAATTATTTGGCAGTCAATTCATAAGACAAATTTGTAATATCAAATTTATAACAAAAAAAAAGCGAAAAAAAATAAATAAAAATTGCAGTTTCGCTAGAAAAACTTACCTTATAGAGAAGCATGCATGACGACGTGTCGCTTATTGAAACCTTTTTAGTATGATTTCTCTTTAAAACAGGCACCATACGAATAAAATGGGTGGTATCTCTCAAGTGTAAAATAGTCATCAAAAAAGGTCTACGTGAATATGTTGGTATTTAAAGTTTATTTCGTATTGATAGAGCATCTTTGTTTATCCACGTAGTCGAAATTTATATATATCTCGATACATACGTGCTAAACTATTGAAAATCTTAAAACGAAATTGTTTAAAAACAGACTTGAGGATATTTTTAATTACAAGTTTCATATCGTCAAACATATGCAAAATATATTGTAGAAATCATCATCATCATCACGATCATTTACAAGTAACTTTTGCACAAAAATTAGAATACTTGTGACTGCATCTAATATTTTATGTTAATTATTGAAAGCTCCCCAGTAATTGAATTTAATCATAAAAATATTTGATGAAACTCTATTTAGTCATGTAAAATGTATATACTTACAATCAAACTTTTAATGAGTATTATCCATTGAGCAATATTAACCAAATGATATTTGTTGTAGCACTTGTCTTGGTACTCACTTTGATGCGTTCAGTCACCACACTTTTTACCCATGGCATCATTAAAATACTCTACAACTGGGTCACTACGAAGCAGGGGGCGAACGGGGAAATGAAATGTTTGAATAAACAATTTCTGTAATACAAATATAATTGGCAATCTTCATTCGATGAAGAAAACTTTTAACTTATATTACATATCGGTAACATCCTAAAATTAGTAGCGATTAATCGGAAAAAACTTTGAATTGCAATAGGAAATATAAACATATTACATGTTAGATCTCCCTTTGTTCACCCAAAGAGAGCTCCCAGGTGGAGAAATCCGAGATCATGCCTCCCTTTATCCGACCATCTTATTAATGGAAGAGACGTGGATATCTTTCTCGTATGTTCAGCATCAATTTACATGATCAGGAGGCACGTGTAAACCACAGTGATGTACAACTACATCAATGGAAAACGTAGAAGAATTTGTTATTACCGTATGAGATAAATATAAACCAATATATTCTAAAGACCTGCTGTTATAAGTTGTACATGATTTTATACTTCAAACAATTAACAGAGTGTTTAAACCTATTAATAACTTAATGATAAGGATTTTTACTCCAGTTTTTTAAAATCATTTGAAGTATCAAAATTATTAATAATTAATAATTATTAATAATATTATATTATTAATTAATATGATATTATTAACAATATTAATTAAGTGTTTAAACCTATCAATAAAGTAAAGTTAAGGATTTTACTACAGTTTTTTTAAAATCATTTGAAGTATCAAAATTAGTACAGCATTTAAAAGAGGAAATGATTAAAATGAAAATCTTCTCCTGTATGAAGACCGTCAGTCAGCATTTGACTCAATGATAAATTGTACTAGCTGACAAAGTCATTGTATCGGTCATAGAACTTACGAAATGATGACTTTAACGAGACTGCTGATATTCTTGTTTCATCAACTTGTTTGTCAAAAAATTACCTTGTTTTAGAAATTGTACATACGTATAGCATGCTCTTGCAGATCGAATCAACTGAGAGATATAAATCCCGTATGCACTTGGTGATTTATATTGCTGCATAAGTAAGGGAAGCTGACGTTTGAAAGTTAAAGTCATCACGTTTATCATAAAGCTTGGTTGTAAGATAACATTAATGTCCTTTTCAAGTACAATATCTAAATACCGAACAGATTTGTAAGACTGTAGTATCTTTATTTCAAGTTCACCTGGATATAAAGCATCGACATAAGAATGGAAATAATCATTGTTAATTGAAAATACGTCGTCGATATATCTAAATGTCGAGCTGAAGGCTACAAATAGTTTTTTTTCTTTTCACGTTTAAGATTTTGGACAAATTCTGCTTCATATGATAGATAGAAACAACGCACCCATATGTAAAAAAAGAAAGGGGCCAACTCTCTAAGCAATAATAGCTAACTGCTTTTATTTTGGCAAAATTTACTTTACAAAATCAAATGCAATATATATTAAAGAAAGTGCAAAATTTAATTTTTATACATCTTTACAAAATCATTTCTCTATAACTATAAAAAAAATTCATTTTGTGATGGAAAATTATTTTAAATAAGTATACAAACCTCAAAGGTCATATGTAAAACGTCTATATCTCAGATACTGAAGTGAAGTCATCACCGTAAGTTATCTACCTATGTTCAAATAATTATTTATCCCATGTTTACCCCTTTTTATTATATACCTAAATGTGTATCACTCAATTTTACTGTTGATTTTACGCTATCACGTGACGTCGTGATCCGACTTTCCGGATCACCACAGTGTGGTTTTCTGAATCCATATCACCACTCTCTGAAACTGATGACGTAGTACGCAGAAACATGGCGTTATTTTTATTGCGCGTCAAAAAGTCCATTGTTTTTATGCTTCGTTTTATGGCTAAAAATTATACAATTGATCTCTGAAGTTTTATTTCGCTATATTTTGCTAGTTATAAGGGGGTATATAAAAAATTTATCATTATAACAGTAATTTGATCCGAAGAGCGCTTCGCGTCTCGTTAGATCTGATGATCCGCGCCTGTCAACTCGACGTGATACGACCCTTCGGATCAAGTTACTGTTATAATAATATATATATCCCGTGGATATCTCACTGGATATTTTTTGATATCCCAGTTATGACGTCACAATGGTTTTTGTATTAGCGTGAAGTAAAATGAAGTGGAGTCCTATATAAACAGTGTAAAACATTGGTTGTGAAGTATTAAACATGTAATAAAAAGAATCTCCCGAGGCTCGGGGACAAAAAGCACACAACTCGTTGGATAAAAATCATATCCAAATACAAATTATGAGAAATCCTACTATTTACCATATCTAAAATTTTCAATATTGAATATTGAACAAACTGTGCACATTTTTTTCAAAGTGCGTTAATATGGTCGATTCGATTTAATTGCTGAAAGGAGATGGGTGAACATGACGAGAGATAAGCCCATAGTGCGACAAACATGAAGGTGAAAAATTAAATCTCAATTTTATCAAAATTTTCCTTAATATTTCATCTAACATTAAAGTATACTTTATGTAAAATCTCTACAACTTGCACTAATCTCACGAAGATTGAAGTTATTTGCCTATGAAATATTATACACACAAAAAGGACAAAACGAGTCATTTTTTCACTATAACACTATTTTTCGATATGAGTGGGTCTTCTCTCCATTTTTTTGAAAGTTAATCCTCAAAGATTGCATAAAAATATGCATATTTTGGTTTCCAAAATTATGGAGCAATGACCCACTATACCTTAAAAATATAATTTTATGACATAACTTTCGTATGTTGTCCCTTAAGTCAATGGTCATATCACAAACATGATTTAAATGCTAGACTTCATCAGGACTTGTGTAGTGTAGTGGTTAGCGTGCTAGTCTCAATAGAGAATGCAACTCAGGATTTTTATTGCCAATGGCTACCACATTTTTTTTATCTATAAAAGAATAAATTTTAACGAAATTTTTTCCTCAAAACTTTTTGTTTATCATGATTTCATAAAAATCAATTATGGGAACTTTACTCTAAATACTAGATTCACAATTTGAATATGATTTTTATATATCTGAAGCTATTGGGCTTTCTGCACGCTAAATTCACCCATCTCCTTAAATTGCGTTATTAGAGAAACCGGTATTTGGGGTTATAGCGTCATACCCCGATTTTCCATCTTTCGTAGTTTAGTTGAACCCTAGCTACTTCCTTTTCCTTTGAAAACGACGAAAAAAGACGTGCTTTGCATCTAAAGTAATAAATTGGTTGACTTTTATATTGTTTTATTAATTTCATCTTGGTTACGATTGATACCAGTAAATGATTGCTGATCGCTGATAACTAAAAAATTGTACTGCTGCCATAGCCATTATTTGCCATTAAACATAAGAAATTTATATCTCTGTGGGTTTCTCTAATTATGCAATTTGATATTAAATATTTTTTTCAAAGTGCTTTGTCTTGGTCCCAAATTTAACACATTTTGATTTTTTTTTTCTACCATATTCTACCAAGTCTTTTTCTGTACTTCAAGAGTACTTTTCAACAATATATTCGCGAGAAGTAGTGTAAATCAGATCCGGATAATTAAATTTTCCAAGAAACTTTTGGAACATTTGAAAACAAAAAAAAAATTATCAAAAGCAATAACATAAAAGAAATTTGACTTTTCAACTTTATATACAGTATTCCTCAGGATAAATTAAAGTCTGGGCTTTCCGACATCATTGGCAGCTGCTTTTTCATAAAAATAAAACTAGTAAATTTACTTACCTTGTCATTGATAATTAAATTTTTGTACACACAAGTACTCTGAAGTTGATAATAAAAAGATTTTTGAGTTTCTGATTCACATATCTGTGTTTTTCGGAAAACAAAAAAAAAATTATCAAAAGCAATAACATAAAAGAAATTTGACTTTTCAACTTTATATACAGTATTCCTCAGTATAAATTAAAGTCTGGGCTTTCCGACAGCATTGGCAGCTGCTTTTTCATAAAAATAAAACTAGTAAATTTACTTACCTTGTCATTGATCAGTTGCTAAATTACTTTGTTAAAACATTCTGATTGTACACACAAGTACTCTGAAGTTGATAATAAAAAGATTTTTGAGTTTCTGATTCACGATATCTATGTGTTTTTCGGAGACCAGGTCCTCCAACAATGTATTGGAATTCCCATGCGTACCAATTGTGCCCCGTAATTAGCAGACCTATTTTTGTATTCATATAAAGCATACTTCGTCCAAAATCTTAAACACGAAAAGAGGAAAACACTTCCTGTGATCTTTAACTCGATATTTAGATATATTGACGACGTTTAAACAATTTTTGTTTCCATTCTTAATATCGACACCAGATATCCCAATGAGCTTGAAATTTTAAAGTACCACAAAAGGAAACACATCTGTTTCATATTAGGTTATTTTACTAGAAAAAGCATCAATGGTTATGAATGGTTATCTAACAAGAAAGGTTTATGATAAACGTGATGACTTTAGCTTTTCAACCGTCAACTTCACTTACTTATGCAGCAATATACCTTTGTCACCTACAAAAGGGGTTTACATCTCTCAGTTTATTAGATACGAAAGATCATGTTCTACGTATGAACAATTTTAAAAACGACCTAAGCCATTGACAATCATGTTGATGAAGCAAGAATTTCAGCAGTCTCGTTTAAAGTCATCATTTCCTATGGTTGATACATTGACCGTGTCAGCAAGTACAATTAATTAAGTCAAATGCTGACTGACGTTTTTATACTAATTGTTATATATGTATAGGCAATTATTTACACACTGAGTTGTCGATGGATTTTTTATGCAAGGAAATGCTTGAAGCCTTTCCTTTTTTGGCCATATTTCGGAGGCCACCTATTTTGCCAAATTATATATGTTATGTAATAGTCACATACTGGGAGACCAATTGTTATTGCATAATTGTTTAGTAATTTTTCTCAGGAATTGTGTTTTAAGGTTACATTGTCTCTCAGTCTTTTTTATTCA